AAAACTACCATAATCAATTTTATAACATTTTTATCATCTCACAAAGAAATACCGTTCCCTTCAATTCCCTTCATTATATCCTCCATCTCCAAGCTCATCCTCTATCCATTATTAAGCAACCACTCATCTATTTTCTATCTGTATAAATGTCCCCTAGGTAAACTTTCATATGAGTGGAGTTGTGTAACATGGGAAATTGTAGTACAAGATGATACCCAAATCCCCATTCTCATCATGGAATTCTTGTATTCATTTATTCATAACACTTCTAGTTTATAGAGGCAAAGCACCTACCTGGTAAGTGCAAGGCCTTGAGTTCAAACTCCAGTACCTCAACAACATCAAAAATAGTATACTGTAATGGGTAATTCATTTGCTAGACAGAGGGGGCTCATGCCTATAATCCTAACTATTTAGGAGGCTGATATCTGGGAGGATTTTGATTTGAAGCCAGCTGGGCAGAAAAGTCCAAGAGATTCTATCTCCAACTAACTTGCACAAAATCAGGCTGGGGAGCACTAGCCTTATTAACCATCAAATTAATGGCACCAGCCATGATTAAGCAGGTCAAGCAAGAGTATGAGGTTCTGAGTTCAAATCACAGTATATCTCTCCCCCCCTCCCTCACACACACACACACACAAATTCACTTGTCTACCACAAAAGCAGTATTTATGGAGCTAAGAGATTAGGCCATAGTAAATCTAAGTAAGAGTCACAAAATCCTAGTTTGGTGGGTCTTACATGACAGAGAGACAAAGACACTGTAATTATAAAACATACAATGTGTTCAATAGAGCTCAGTTGGTAACAAGAAGGAGGAGGAGGAAGGGGCCGGGGAATAGCAGCAGCAGCAGAAGCAGGAGGAGCTGGAGGGGGGCTGTTATGCCAAAGAAGGTGATGTGAATGGAAACAAATCAAACGGTAAGAAGACAGAGGTCTCACTGAGAATGTCTCTGAGTGAAGACTAGTGAAAAATGAGGGAGCAAACAGGGGTTTGGCGGAGGAGCATTGCAAGCAACACAAGTAAGACCCTCTGAGTGAAGGACTTGGTGCTCTGTTTTAAAAAAAAGAGGTAGGCTGGGAAGGTGGCTCAGTGGTAGAGCACCTTGCATGCATGAGGCCCTGGGTTCGATTCCTGAGCACTACATAAGCAAAAAGAAAAAAGCCAGAAGTGGCGCTGTGGCTCAAGTGGTAGAGCGCTAGCCTTGAGCTGAAGAGCTGAGGGACAGCGCCCAGGCCCAGAGTTCAGGCCACACGACCAGACCCCCCCCCCAAAAAAAAAGAAAAGAAAAGTGAGGTAAAAACTAAAATGTCATACAAAGAGAAACCAATGAATCTAACTGCATGTCAAGTGAATAGCATACTAAAGAAAGGATACTTCATCAAAATAGCTTTTGAAACTGTTTTTTGTACTCTTAGGCTCTAACAGAATCAAGCTGTTAAACGAGAGAGGTTGGTTTCTATGATAGTATGGCGTTAATGACCCTCACACTTTCTTTCCTCCATAGTCTAGGATTGAGAGAAGCACATAGACTCTAGAAATGTGATGATTCACTGTCAGAGGAAGGAGTTAAAACTTATTGAAAAAAAAAAGACGGACATGAAAATCTATGGTGCTAGACTGGAACTGGAAAAATTAGTACTACGAATTCTTAAGGTATTTAAATAAGGATAGAAAAAGGATAGGATACACATGTATCTTTTCTTGCTCTGTGTGGAGATGGTAATAAAGCAATATTCCAAGACCAATGCCTGTGGTTCTCAGGAGGCTGAGATCTAAGGATCAGGGTTTGAAGCCAACGAGGGCAGGAAAGTACATGAGACTCTTGTCTTCAGTTAACCACCAAAGAAGAGCCATGGCTCTAAGTGCTAGAGTGCTATCCTTGAGCATAAAAGCTCTAGGACAATGCCCAGGCCCTGAAGTCAAGACCTAGGACCAGAACAAAAAGAAAACGATAAAGCAATGATCCTCCAGTGGTAATCAACACAGCATTAGATCTTGTTTTCTAAACACTGTTCCAAACCAACAAGAGGCAGCATTCACTGGAGAAATGGAAAATTCCAATGCCAGGTCTGGAAGGTACAAAGAGAATTTGGAACAGGAAGTAAAGAAGTGCTGCTAAAAAAAATTATACTAGGTCAAAAAACGACAGAGACACTACTTTTCTTCTATTAACCAAATGAGAAAAAATGATAATTTACTTAACAGTAATAACATACTATAACCTATCAAATAAATAAATTTATATTGATATGGATACTGTCTATGAGAATAGAAATAAATAAATAGACAGGGAAGGAAGTCTTTTGTCTACAGTAGAATGCCAACTGATGAATAGAGAGTGAAAGGTGACTTACAAAGGAAAAATACCACTGTGACTGTAATAGGAAAAACTGAATTTGGCAACTATTATTTATCATTAATGGCGCTAAAAAAATCAATGGGTGAGGCCGGGCGCTGGTGGCTCATGCCTGTAATCCTAGCTATTCAGGAGGTTGAGATCTGAGGATCGGGGTTCAAAGCCAGCCTGGGCACGAAGGTCCATGAGACTCTTATCTCCAATTAACCACCAGAAAACCAGAAGTGGTGCTGTGGCTCAAGCAGTAGAGTTCTCACCTTGAGCTAAAGAGGACAGGGACAGCGCCCAAGCCCAGAGTTCAAGCCCCACAACTGACCAAAAAAAAAAATCAATGGGTGAAATTTTTATTTAAAAAAATTAACTACGTATAGAAGGGAAAAACTGGGAGAGAACAAGGGAAGGGGTGACATTGTCCAAAAAGAAATGTACTCTTTACCTGATTTATGTAACTGTAACCCTGCTGTACATCACATTTATAATAACAACAAAGTTTCTTAAGTTAAGTATTTGAAGAGGTTTAGAGTATATCCCCATAAAATACTTATGAATTACCAAAGGAAGAATAGTAACTCTACGCTAGAGAAACCTGGCAGACAACCCACTAAAATGATGGAAATTACCACCACCAGTAATTGGCCCAATCAACAATAGAAGGATCTACTATCCCTTCTCTGGCATTCCTGTCTATCAGGCATAACGTAAACGCACCATGAAGAAACAACAGGCAAACTCAAATTGAGTGATGTGGGTAGCCAGCCTCCAGGATGGTCTCTGTAATAATTTTACAATGCTTAGTACAGCAATCTCTTCTAATTCACAGATTTATTACACTCTACTTTGACCAAGCATGGTCCAAAAATAGTAATACATTTAAAAATTGAAAGAAATCTCAACCACAAAAAGGTTTTAATTCTAGCACATGCATTAGACAGCTCGGTGGACATGAAACTCTCAGTCCCGTGGAATTGTCAGGTGCATTAACATTTCTGTGTGATCTGCTGAGGGTTCAGCTCCTAAAAGTGAGATTAAAGCTTAATGCATTCAATATAAATGATGAAACCAGAAGTTTCGATCTGTGGAAAGATCCATGGTCTTAGTAGAAGGTGGGTAGTGTTGTGTGACAAACAAATCAAACAGCCCTGGTATTTGAGACAAAGAGCCTGCCTGGATGAAGGTCTACTTTTTGATGAGCAGTATTAATCGGTACCACAGTAATTTTATGACAGTAGGTAGCTTGCTCCATATGTTTTCAAAGTATGGATGCTCAGACCTATTGCACATGTGGTGTAGATAATCTGAGTGATTTTAGAGTAGTGAACTGTGTGGATCTTCGGCGTGCTTGGCTTTTCTTCAGTGGTGGCTGTGGCTCCATACACAGGCTGACATCGAGGGTCTAGTGTATTCTCATACACAGAGTATCTCCCATCACTAAACAGATAGATGATCTGTGTGCTCTGTAGGATATTCTGAACATAATGTAATGTGACTTCTGAGGACAGGTCATAAAAAGCATTCTAAGACTGGCACCGGTAGTAGCTCATGCCTATAATTTTAGCTACTCGGGAGGCTAAGTTATGAGGATGGAGGTTAGAAGCCAGCCCAGGCAGGAAAGTCCATGAGACTCTTTCCTCCAATTAACTACCAAAACAGCTGGAAGTGGAGCTGTGGCCTGGAGTGGTAGAATGGCTAGCCTTGAATAGAAAAGCTCAGGGAGAGCGCCCAGAACCTGAGTTCAAGTCTCAGCATCAGGGGTGGGTAGGGAGAGGGAGGGAGTGAAAGAGAGAGAGAGAGAGAGAGATTCTAGCTTTTGCCTTGTCCTGAGACCATATAATACTCTGGTAGCCCCCCACAGTAGACCCCCAACAGTGAAGGAGTGAGGCAGCCAATCATCAACCATTGAGTGGACCATCCTCAGTGGACTCCTCCAATCCTAGTCAACCCTAGATGGCTGGTGTCCGGTGTCTTTTCATTTCATGAGATCCCCAGTCCTGTGAGACTCTCATCTCCAATTAAGCACCGACAATCTAGAAATGCGGCTGTGGCTCAAGTGAAGAGCGCAGTCCTCAGTCAGGGCACACGCAAAAGTGAAAAATACATGCATACATGCATGCATACACACATACATGCATGCATGCACACATACATACACACATACGTGCATACACACATACATACATGCATGCACACATACATGCATGCATGCATACATAATACATCAGTAATAAATACATACACAAATAAATAGAAATACCATAGTGTAGAACAGCACAGACGCAAGCATTGCAGATTCGTCCATTAGTAAGGATGGAAGTTGCCCTTCAGGTCTAGAAAGACATTGGGAAGGAAATGACTATACGGGATTGCTTAGCCAAAAAAGTGTGTGAGTCACCGCACTGAGCCTCCAGACTGGGTCCCCAAAGACTTGGGGGGAACCCCAAGTCTCCTTCCCACCGCCGGGTGTCGGGGGCCGTCCCTCCCCGTCTGATCTCCACCCCTTCCCCGCCTCCCGTCCCAAGCCACCTGTAGGCGAGCTCTCCAGCCCCCTCCCCCTGCCCCCCTTCTCCCACCCCTCCCCCCGCCCGAGCTGCCAGACCCCATTTAAGCGGCCGCCTCCCCAGGCGCGGGCAGATGCCCGCCGCCCCGGCCCCCGCGCGCACGCGCACTGGAAGCTCCCGGGGTCCGGACCGCATCCCACCCACCCGCCCGCCGCCGGCGCGGCCGCCCTGGCATGGGCGCCACCACCCTGCTCTGGGTTTCCTTGACTGTCTTCGCGCCAGGGGTCCTCGGTGAGCTGGGATGGGATGGGGGAGCTCAATCGTCGGGGGAGGGGGGGGGCTATGCAAAACAGGAGCCAGAAAGTAGGAGAGGGCGGGCAATGCCGAGTGCTCGCTCGCCCCATCCCTGCTGGATTGGGGGACCCCTCCCTGCAAGCTCCTGCGTCCTGCGCGTCCCCAGGCCCTTCCTCTGAAGCAAGGACCTCAGGACATGGATGCTGAGCCCGAGGAGAATGTCTCCCCTGGCTGGGGCACCCCATCTGCCCCCTGGATGTAGCAGGGACTCATAGCCAATGGCCCAAAGTGGGTTTTGGGTTTTGTTTTGTTTTTTAAGAGCCACTGCCTAGCTTGCATCAGAAACCTACCCAGACTTAGCATGCACATATGCGCATGTGCGCTGCGCCAGGACCCTAGTGCACACAGGTGGTTCTGTACCAAACTATCTCCACTCCTGCCCCAGCAGAGCCTGGGCGGCCTTTTCCCTACAGAGTAAACTTTGGTTCTCCAGCAGGGGTCTCACGGACTTTTTATTCTTCTGATGGGTTAGTGGGAAGAGTGGAGACAAGAATTAAAACTGTGTTTTTTCTTCTTGTTTTTTTTTTAATTATTATTTCCCTTCATGGTGGGGACTACACTACCACAAGATCTTGCTTCATTGTATTTCCACCTTTTTTATTTTTTTCCAACTTGGCTTGATTTTAAAGAAGTATCATGTGTTCTGATTGGAAACTCTTGGCTAGATGATGTCTGTGAAGTGCTCCTCAGGTATAGTTAAAGTCGCTAAGGCATTTGCCGCCTGCCGGCCTCAATAACTGGGTGACTTTTGGCAAGTCATTTAAGTACCTCAGTTTCTTCATCTTGAAATCAGCCACACACTGATCGGTTATGTCACAGGGATGCTCCAGAAGGCAGAGGAAATCAGGCAAATGTTACTCCTCCACATCAGTAACAAGTGTGCTGTGTGGGGCCCTGTTTTGTGCAGCCAGCATTTAAACCCCTGCCAGCCTGTTCAGGTGTCTGATCACAGACATGGTCCACTCTATGCCAACATACCATTTTCTTACTGACATTTCACCACCTCCTGACCCTTAATCGAACACTTTTCAAAAATCACTTTGCCTGGCACCAGTGGCTCACACCTGTCATCCTAGCTACTCCGGAGGCTGAGATCTGAGGATCCCGGTTCGAAGCCAGCCTGGGCAGAAAAGTTCTCATGAGACTCTTATCTCCAATTAACCACTCAAAAGACAGAAGTGGCACTGTGGCTCAAGTGGTAGAGTGCTAGCCTTGAGCACAAAGAGGCTCAGTGACAGCACCCGAGCTGAGTTCAAACCCTACAACTGACAAAAAAAAATCATTCTCTTCATCTCACCTCTTCCTATCATCTCCATGAGAGCAAGGACGCCATCACAGACAGCCATACACCTGCATGCTGTACAGCATCAAACCTACCTCCCACCTCCCAATCATTCCTATGGCTACAGTTCAGAAGGATATTATCAGTGGAAAAGCAAATTCTTCACCTCACCATCCCTTCCAAGTAGAAAACCCAGTGCTAGAGCAAGAGCACCATCCAGGACCCCTAATAAGAGAGAAGCAGGTCTTCCCTGTGCCCATGTTCATCTCTCTCTCTCTCTCTCTCTCTCCCCATATCCCCTCCCCATCCTTTTTCTTTCTCCTTTTCCTTATCCTTCCCCTCCCTCCCTCTTTCTTTCTCCCTCCCCTCCCCTTTTTCCCTCCCACTTCTTCTCTCCTTGCTTCTCCTTCTCTCTTTTACTCTCTCTTCCTCCTTTTCTCCCTCCCCCTGTCTCCCTCCATCTTCCTCTCCTTTTCTTGCTCCTAGGTCTTTTTTTTGGGGGGGAGGGGGTTTTGTCAGTTGTGGGGCCTGAACTCTGGGCCTGGGCGCTGTCCCCCAGCTCTTCAGCGCAAAGTGAGCCCTCAACCACTTGAGCCACAGCGCCACTTCTGGCTTTTTCTGCTTATGTGGTGCTGAGGAATCGAACCCAGGGCCTCATGTGTGCAAGGCAAGCGCTCTACCACTGAGCCACCTTCCCAGCCCGCTCCTAGGTCTTTTTAAGTAGCCCAGAGTGACTTGTACTTGAGATCATCCCACCTCAGCCTCCTGAGTACACAGATGTGTTCACCATGCCATGACAGCCTTGTTAAATCTTTCTCATACCAGTATTGCAATCCTGAGCAATCCAATTACTCATGTACAAGCCACTCTGTCTCCAGTCTTGTTAAACTTTCCGACGATGAAAAACAAAAATCAATCTATCAATCAATCAATCTATCTATCATCTGCATATGTATGCTACCTATATACATATTCATTTTCCACTCCCTGGCTTTAAGAAAATCTAAATGGGCTCTTGAATGCCAGTGTGTGTGTGGGGGGGGGGGGGGGAATCTACTCCAATGGGTCAACGAGGTCCTTGTGACTGGGCCTCGCCTGTCTGTGCATTGCGCATCCTTGTGCCCACGCTTTTGTCAAAAGCGGACTACTTCCTCCTTCACAAAACAGTTGCCATTCTCATCTTCCACAACAGGGTCTCTGAGCTTTGTTTTCCACAGGTGTCTACTTATGCTCAGTTTCTATGACCTTATGTCTAAATATCAGTGGGTATTCCGGCTCCACCCTAGACGTCTTCCATTTTTTCTCTCTATCTTCTTCCGAAAAGATCTCATATAGTCTCATGGCTTTAAATACTATTTAAATTTGTTATCAGTTGTCCTGACTTCTGAGCAGCAAATCTGTGCGTAATGATGTATTTACACCAGGTCTGACATAGCACACGCTTTCCTTACCACACACACAAGTACACATGAAAGCTTTAATGCACACGTGTGTGCACACATGCACACACATGGCCCATTTCTTCCCCAGGCCTTCCCTCTTACTGCATGGTAATTCCCTCAATCAGGTAACTCAAGTGAAAAGCTTAGAAGTAATTACTGGCTCCTTCCATTTCTTTAATCCTACATCTAATACAATAGCTTATCAATTCTCCTAAAATGTATTTCAAGTGCATCTCCTTATCACTGCCTCTTTTCGAACCAAGTGTCATTTTTACCCAGAATTGTGTAATTCGCCCAACTGCCAGAGCATTCTTTTAAAAGAGCAAATAATGTCCCATGGCTGTCTTGCATGAACTCCCCAATGACTTCCACTCAGGGAACCCTCCAAATTTCTTGTGGTAGCCTAAGTAATCCTGTACCATCCCTCCTATTCTTCTAGCCTATCTCATACCTGCTTTACAGCCTGATCGCAGTTGCCTTCTGCCTCTCCCTAAAGCCTACTGACTCCAGTGGACTAGCAGGCCTCTGCCTCAGGTGCTTGGCTGGATCCTTCTCATCCTGCAGTCACTATTCCAGTCTCTCCTCCATAGGTCTCTCTGTCTGTCTCTCTGTCTGTCTCTCTCTCTCTGTGTGCCAACATGCAACCTAAATGCCATGTGGAGGGGACATGACATGTTTCTTCCTCTTTCAAGTGCATTGAATTGTCAGTCCACTCCATTTCCTTCTCAGTACCATCTTACTTATTTCCTGGTATTTATTCATGGTCTGTTTCCTTTGATTGGAATATAAATTATGTGGGGAAGGGAACTTTGTCTCCAGTGTTCACAGATGGATGCCCCATGTCTAGGACTGTACCTTAGGGAAATGTTTAGGGAATATGTGTAACTATTATTCAAAAGATTACCCATCAAGCCAGGCTGCTCAAGAGGCTGAGATCTGAGGATCACAGTTCAAAGCCAGCCCAGGCAGCAATGTTCATAAAACTCTTATCTCCAATTAACCACCAAAAAGCTAGAAGCAGAGATGTGGATCAAGTAGTAGAGTGCTAGCCTTGAGAAACAAAAATCTCAGGGACAGCACCTAAGCCCTGAGCTCAAGCCCCAGGATTGGCACGCACACACACACACACACACACACACACACACACACACACACACACACTACTTATGAAATAGCAAGGTCCTAGTATTAAAGCATTTAATTATAATGCTTATTCTCAAAGATCATTATTTACCTTTTAACATGTTTCCTGACCAGCCTCTGTAATAATATACTAATGTATTATTATAGAATATAACAATCATATATATCTTATATATAATGATAGATATGTGTGTGGGTACACACACACACATACACATACACACACAGCCAGGCACCTGCACACACTTGCACACATCGTTCGCTCATTTCAAATGATCCAAGCCATTCAGGTAAAGCTCCTTACAAACAAATAATGAGTTAACTATATCCTATTCTCCAGAAAATGTTTTGCCTAGTTAGTTTTAAATATGGTTTGAAGTGTGTGTATGTGTGCATGTGTGAATATCCTGTCTTCCAGGTCTTTACACCTGATTGTAGAAAGATGTGGAAAGGGCACAGTGGCTCTCAGGACAAGTCATCTAACTAAGCAGTTCTTATCTCACTCTGGAATTCTATCTTGCATCCTGGGATTTGGGGGTAATTTCATTAGGAAGAAGGCCAAGTTCGAGAGAGAGAGAGACAGACAGACAGACAGACAGACAGAAGGACAGAGACAGACACAGAGACAGAGACACAGAGAGGCGGAGAAAGAACGTCCCATGTGGTCTTATTAGAGATGAGTCTTTTCCATTGCTCCCTATCCAGCAAGTGTGACTCTCATCTGCTTTCATTGTGGAGTGTTAGCTGTAATGTATCCTGAGTTTTTGCCATTTTTAGATCTTGAGTTCTTTTTAACCTGTATTGGTGTTAAGTCTTAGGAGTTTAAATTGTTTGTTTTTTTCAGATTGTAAAAGATAATTTGGCATGGTTCTTATTTGCTTTTGATAATTACAAGTAAAACCACTTGCATAGAATAACTGGTACAAAAGTCTGTCTTCAGGGAGGTCCGATTCTCAGTGAAGATCCTCCGATCTGCAGGATATGCACTTGTAGGCGTTGATGAAGGAAACTAAAGGAGTTGAGGGAGTAAATTCATGGATGGGGATTCTCCAGTGACGCAGTCTTACATTCATTCTCCACTAGAGGCATGAAGCCACAGAAAGGCTAAGTCTGGTTACAACTTAGCGGAGGTGTAAGCGCCTTAGGAGCACCCCGGGTTTACTGTTTGTTTTTTTACCTGTCTCTGACTTGCTTGAAGAGGACTCACAAAGTTAACATTCAAATATTCTTCTTCTCTGGGCAGGCTTTGCAGCTAGGCACATTTCTATATGATGACTATCGGATCTGAAAGGAAAGTGAACTTTTTGCTCTCTGTATATGAATTTAAGGAGTTGAAACTCGAATCTTCTCTCATAACCTAGGAAAATGACTTCTGAAAACATCCTTTACATGATTGTTACCGTTTCTTGCCCATCTACTAGGATACCAATTATTTAATTATTAAATATGATTGTTTTAAGTCAGAGGAAACTGTCTGGAAGTTTTTAGTTCCTTTTACCTCGTAACCATCAGAGAGTATTTTCCAAAGTTCTCTCTGGGGTTATTTTACTATGGTTGGTGAAAATAAAATAATGGAGAATAAGCATATTTTTCTGAAGACACTAAAGGCTGGGATAATTATTTCGGTTTATTGAAGGAATATTAAAGGATTGCTGGCATCAGAAGCTCATGCCTCTAATCCTAGCCTCTCAAGAAGAAGGCTGAGATCTGAGAATTGAGCTTCAAAGCCACCGGGGAAGACAAATGTGGGAGATTCTTACCTCTAACTGACCAGCAAAAAGCCAGAATTGAGGCATGATCAAGCACCAGTTGTGAGTGGAAAAAGCTAAATGAAAATGTGAGGCCCGGAGAAAAGCTGAAGTACCAGTAGTCACACACAATATTAAATATGCATAACTTAGGATGTATTTTAGTTTCCTGTGCTATCCCCTAAAAGTTTTTACTCTAAGATTTTTTTATTGTAAGGTTCTATTTTTACTTATATTAAAAAAATGTGGGGAGCCGGGCACCAGTGGCTCATGCTTATAATTCTAGCTACTCAGGAGGCTGGGATCTGAGGATTTCAGTTCAAAGCCAGTCAGGGCAGAAAAGTCTGTGAGACTTTCATCTCCAATGAACTGCCAGAAAACCAGACGTGGTGCTGTGGTTCAAGTGGTAGAGTACTCACCAGAGACAGCACCCAGGCCCAGAGTTCAAACCCCATGACTGACAAAAAAAAAAAAAGTGGGGATTTTTTTTTTGCTCCAAACTCAACACATCATACATGTTAATCACATGCTGTTTTAAGTATGCCAATTATGCTTCATTACAGGCAGGAAAAAATATGAATATCTGCTCTCCCTCAAATAGATCTAAAACCAACGCAAAGCAAAGCATGTGTGCTCATCGCTGAAGGCCTTCACCACAGGCTTTTTCCATTTTCCCCAGACTCTGACCTTACTGTGAAAGGCAAACAACGGGGGAAAAAAATGGAAGAGGCACTGTGGCTCAAATGGTAGAGCACTAGCCTTGAGCAAAAGAAGCTAAGGGATAGCACCCAGGTCCAGAGTTCAAGTCTCAGAACCAGAGCAAACAAAAAAAAAAAAAAAGAAAAACTACAACAACAAACAAAAACTCACTTATTTTCATTTAAAATGTGTAACACAATGAAGTAACCACAGGGTCTTTCTAGGATATTATGAAATTTTATTTTCTCTAGTTCTTCCTCTGAGGTCTGTCCTAAAAACTGAATGTTGTTAGAACAGTGGGTAACAAAACAAAAGCAGACAAAAAGGCTTACCCACACTTCACTTTGTACTTTGCTTTAAAGTACAAAGTAAGTTTCAAACAAGCACTTTACCTCTGGAGCCACGCCCTCAGCCCTTCTCTTAGTTTTGATATCCCTATAATCTCTGTCTCTAGGTCAGTGTAAGTTCCTGCCAAGGTACCCTTTTGCTAAGCCTAATATTGGGAGTGATCAGTCTGAGTTTGCTGTTGGCACAACTTGGGAATACAAATGCCTCCCTGGCTTTACCAAGAAGTCATTCTTTATCACCTGCCTAGAGAATTCCAAGTGGTCAGATGCTCAACAGTTCTGTAAACGTGAGTAATCCTTGTCACTCTCCATCTCGTGTCCTAGAGGATCTATTCCAGATAAAAGACTGACACACTAGTAGCTCATGGCAAGTAAAGGGTGCTCCCAAGGTCTCCATGTTTCCTTTTATTTCAGAGTGCGCTATTAATTGGGTTAAAGTCATTACCACTGGCCAACCCTCTATGTCCTATTTTCTCCATGACTTCTTTCTGATCATCTCTTCATTCTGCAATGTCTTAGGATGAGGTAAAAAAGACAGTCTACAAAATGTCAGCTGGACACTGCTGACTCATGCCTATAATCCTAGCTACCCAGGAGGTTGAGATCTGAGGATCACTGTTCAAAGCCAACCCAGCAATGTCCATAAGACTCTTATCTCCAATTAACCACCAAAAAGCCAGAAGTAGAGCTGTGACTCAAGTGATAGAGTGCTAGCCTTCAGCTTTCAAAAAAAAAAGCTCAAAGACAACACCCAGGCCCGGAGTTCAAGCCTTATGACCTAAAAAAGGAAGGGGAGGGGGGGAAAAAAAGAAAAAGTATTAATTCAGCTTATTCTTGTACCACTCAATTCAATAAATAGTTTTGAATGAGTAGTAAGTATGATACATGAAATTAAACAATAGGGTTTGGGAAAACCAAATAGTTGGGTAGTTTTACCTTGTAGGAATTTCCTACAATCAGTAAAGACTGATTTTTAAATACATGTTGTACGTATCATTTATTTTTAGAGGAAACATGGCCTAAGATCATAGAAAAGTAAGTAGTTATCTAGAAACATTAGGGAAATCTAGTTGTGGGCAGAGGACACTTTTTGTGTACACAAAAGCTTATAGGTGGGAAGGAATATGATGTCTAAAAAAAATAGACCAAAAAAATCAGTATGGTAGAGTCTACTTGGTGAGGAAGGGTGATAAGTATACTAGCATTAAACTATATAATAGGCGGTATATATTTCCTAGAAACAGTTGTGAACCATTGTATGTGTTCCAATGTGGGTATGATGTGACCTCATTTGCATACATTCTGTGGAGGGTGTACTCACATAAGGGCAACCTGAGTTTTACATGTGTAGAATTATATCACTCAATAATCCAAATGAGAGCCTACAGCAGTGGCAGAATAACCAGATTCCTGTCAGTCAATGTGGTGAGTGAATAAGGGCCAGGGGTCAAGGGTGAGTGTCAGAAAGGAAAGGATGACTGCGAGGTTGCTTTGATCCAGGAGATTTGTTAGGCGATGCCATCCATGGACATAATAAGAAAGAGGGAAAAATGGAGATTCTAAGTTATAATCAACCTCAAGTACAGTTGTGCATCCAGCTACAGAAACATACGCTTAAAACAAAGTGGATTCTAGAACCGACTGATCCATAAAAGGTATGAATTCTTTAAATATTAAAAAAAATATATTTGAGGGCTGGGAAGGTGGCTTACTGGTAGAGCGCTTGCCTAGCATGTATGAAGCCCTGGGTGCGATCCCTCAGTTCCACATACACAGAAAAAGCTGGAAGTGGTGCTGTAGCTCAAGTGGTAGAGTGCTAGCCTTGAGCTGAAGAGCTGAGGGACAGCGCCCAGGCCCAGATTTCAAGCCCCATGACCAACCTATATATATATATATATATATATATATACATACATATATATATATCAAACAAGTAGATTCAACTGTTGGAGAATCGAATTCCCACCTCATTAGGATTTAATACAAAACACAAGGTCTTCTGGATTTTAGTCCCCAATTCTATTTTGTTTTGTCTTGTTTCCCCTTATAGGCAAATCATGTAGGAGGCCCCAAGACCTGCTCCATGGCTCTGTGCGTACACCCATGGGGATCGAGTTTGGGTCAACCATTACATATTCTTGTAACAAAGGGTGAGTTGGCAGTAGACATCTCCAGGATATATGCAATGTAGAATATTAATTCTAACCAGAAACTATCCAGTCCTGAGAGTCAATGCTATCCATCAATCCAAAAGAGACTCAGGTCCTTACTTCCTACCCTTTAAAGTTAAATAAGCAAAATATGGTGTTATCACCCTAATCTGCTCCAGAAGACAGCTCAAGAAAGTCCCTACAGAGAAAGGAGAGGGGGCTCCTCTTTAGTTTTAACTGTCCAATGCTATTGATGATGTCAAATGCCCTTTGGCTCTAAATTATTGAGTCTTTGATTTTTTTCACCACTACCTGTTACACATTCTATTCTGTTGTATCTTATTTGTGAAAGAAAAATTGTGGCCTTTCTAAAATGTAAATGATGTCAGGCACTGGTGGCTCATGCCTGAAATCCTAGCTACTCAGGAGGTTGAGACCTGAGGATTGTGGTTTGAAGCCAGCCCAAGCAAGCAAGTCTACATGACTCTTCTCTTCAACTAAAAGCAGAATGTAGAGGTGGCTCAAGTGGTAGAGCAACAGACTCGACTAAAAAAGTCAAAGGAAAGTGTGAGGGCCTGAGTTCAAGCTCCATTACTGGCACCAAATAAACAAACAAATAAGACACAAGTGTAGCTCAGAGGTGACCACACATTTCTCTGTCCCTAGATATCAACTCATTGGCGACACTTCTGCTACATGCATTGTCTCAGATAATACTGTAGTCTGGGATGCGGATATGCCTTCTTGTGAACGTGAGTAAAATGATTTCTTTATGGCACTCTATTCAATTCCTCTTGCACTCCTAGAGAGTCGCTGGGCATCTGCATCAACCTGAGTCCCCAAGGCTTCACTAGTTTTGGCACAGAGCAGTGATTTATTTTCCTCTGTGACTTCCTCATCTCACCACACTTCCCTCTCCCTGCTGACCTGTGACGAAAAGTGACTGCATAAGGAATAAATTCCTAACTCTAAAATAGATCGTGAGCTCACACACAGCCTCATTACCATGCACAAACTAAGTCTCACTGTTTCCCGTAGGCATTTATCTGTCCGCTGGCTGGGGACTAGTGACCAGCTTATCTACAGCCTTTAGAGGCTTCATCGTTCAGAGTCCCATGCATTTTCCTACCTGGATCCTTTCCATTTAGGATCACCTTTTAGCTCAGGATACAAAAGTTCAATAAAATCGATCAATTGTAGGCTCAGCGGAAGCCTGTGCAGAGAAAGTTCTCAGGAATTATAACATCTAAATGCCTTCTCTTTTCCTACCTGCCCCCACCTAAGCTATTCTGTGTGAGCCACCCCCATCCATCTCCAACGGGACCTTCTCCAGCATCAGTAGAGAAGTCTTTCCCTTTGGAAGTGTGGTAACATATCGTTGCCGCGTTGGACGAAATGGGGAAAAGCTGTTTGATCTGGTGGGTGAGAAATCGATGTATTGCACCAGCAAAGACAATCAAGTTGGCATCTGGAGCAGCCCACCCCCGCAGTGCATTGATTTAGTCAAGTGCCCAAGGCCAGAAATTAAAAACGGACAGATGGAATCTGGATTTAGATGGCAATTTTTCTTAAACGATTCAGTGATGTTTGCGTGCAAGCCTGGCTTTACTATGAAAGGCAGCAGCATTGCCTGGTGCCAACCAAATGGCAAATGGGACCCTCCCCTGCCAACTTGCTTCAAGGGTAAGTTGAGCTGATACTCTGGGTTTCTTAAAATAAAATTAGGCTTTTGGCAGAATAGGGACAGGTGCTGATAGGCATAGTAGGATCGTGAAAGTTATGTACGGCTGAATTTCGTGGCTAACGAATTTGAAAATGAATTTGGGAAGTAATATCTAAGTGTTGAAGAGATAAGAAATTTTATTGTTGTGGAACAGTATTGCATCTGTGTTGTTGTAAGGGAAATTAGTAAAGCTTTTGGGGTTTTTTTTTTTTTTTACAAAGCTGTCAAAATAACTTGAAGGCTCAAAAATGTAAGATACAAAATGGCTAGAAAAAACATAGGTGAACTGTTTCAGGTCATTGGGATCAGTTACAAGGTTTTGGAAAACAACTCCCCAAAACATAGGAAATGAAAGTAAACATGGGAAAATAGGGGTACATCAAACCAAAAGGCTTCCACAGGGGACAGGCATTGTGACGCACACCTGTAATCCCAGCAACGTGTGGAAGGCAGAGAGGGGAGGATTGTGGCTTGAGAGTAGCCAGGTCAAAAGAGTTAGTGAAACCTTATCTCAAAAAATAAGCTAAATGTGAGGATACAGACAGACAGGGTAAGGGATAAAAGCTGTGAGGCCTGACCTGGAAAGTATACTAAAACAAAGAGAACTGGGGAGATGGCTCATCACTCCAGTTAAGAGCACTGCCCTGGTAGATATGAGGTCCTAAATGCTGCACAACAGAAGGAATGATAGAATAAAGTGGGAACATATAGAATGGAACAAAGTATCTGCAAGCTACATAACAAGGGGTGGCTATCCAGAAAACATAAGGAACTCAAATAACTCAGTAGCAAAGAAACTTAAATAACCTCAGTTTAAAACATATGAATAGAAACCAAAGGAATAGCCAAGAGCTATCTAAGAATTCTCGACAGCATGAGTCATGAGGATAAAAGCAAATCAAAACCATAATGAGATCTTCTCACCTGATTAGAATGGCTGCTAATCAGAAAGACAAAGTAAGGCCAGGACAATGGAGGATTCGATTAGGAGCAGAGGGAATCTTACACACAGTGGGTGACCATGTAAATTGGTACAGATGCTATGAATAACAGTATGAGGGCTCCTCCAAAAGTTAAACATAAAGAGAGCCGCCTCATGACCTGGCAAAGCTCCTTCTGGATAGATGTCAAGTGAAATGTGATCAGTACACTGTAGAGATCACTGCACTTTCTTGTATACCAAAGTATCGTTCATAGGAGCCATGAAAGACAAACAACCAAGTGTCTATCAATCAAAGACAATGTCATATATACACACAATGGGATGGCAGGCAGCCATGAAAAGGAGTGAAAGTCCGGCATTGACTACAACATGGATGGAGCTGGAGCTTATTATATTAAGGGAAATAAGACAAGCACAGAAAGGCAAATACCAACTTGCATGTAGAATCTAAAAAAGGTGGTCTCATAGAAGAACAGAAGCTGGGGAGAGCAGTAGGAAAGATCTTGATGAACAAGCATTACGTTATAGTCAAATTGAAGAAATAAGTTCGTGTGCTGTCTTGCACAGTAGCACAGCTGTGATTCATGATAATGAATCTGTGTACTTCAAAAAGGCCAGAAGAGCTGGGCACTGGTGACTCAGACCTGCAATCCTAGCTACTCAGGAGGCTGAGATCTGAGGATTATGGTTCAAAGCCAGCTTGGGGAGGAAAGGCTGTGAGAGTCTTACTTCCAATTAACCACCAGACTGGGCTGGGAATGTGGCTCATTGGTAGAGAGCTTGCCTTGCATGCATGAGGCCCTGGGTTTGATTCCTCAGCACCACATAAGCAAAAAGAAAAAAGCTGGAAGTGGCATTGTGGCTCAAGTGGTACAGCACTAGCCTTGAGCTGAAGAGCTGAGGGACAGCGCCCAGGCCCAGAGTTCAGGCCCCATGACTGGACCCAAAAAAAAACTAAAACAAAATCAATTAACCACCAGGAAACCAGTAGCGGAGCTGTGGCTCAAAGTGGTAGAGCACTAGCCTTGAACAGTAGAGCTCAGAGACAGTGCCCAGGCCCCAAATTCAGGCCCCATGACCAACAACAAGGAAAAAAAAAAGGCTAGACGAAAAAAATTAAGGTTTTACAACAAAGAAATGATAGAAGTTTGAGAAGATAGATGAATTTACCCTAAGTAGAATATGATACAATGTATTCATGTGTTTGTAGAGTACTAGGTATTACATAAGTAGGTATTTTATATCCATTAGAAAATATAAATAAGTGCCAAAGCCAGTAATTAGATATAAAAATGACTCAACTAGATTAAATGAGAATATAATGAATTCTCAATCCTATTGGCCATCTCAATGGGAGAAACTGAAATAAGAATTTGATTCAAAATAGTTTACACATTAAACATTTCCATATCAACGATAATGTAACCCTTCTGGAAGAAGGCGAGTAGTCAGATGAAATCTATGCCCACCATTTACCCCCTCTCTCCTCTTATTGTAGAATTTTTGACTTTCTAAAAACCTGGCAGTATCGGGAACGCCTTTCACAAGGCTCAGAAATCTCCTTCACTTTGTTTGGGGAGCAGAAAGGTAGAGCTAGATTTAGGTGGAGAAGATGTGTTACGCAAGTTTGGTTCCCTTGGCTATATTATTGAAACAATATCTCAGGCCCTTGAGATGCAGGAGATGAACGATGAATGGCAGGCATGGTGATTCCTGATTTAGATCAAGGCAGGGAAAAGACAGCGTTGTGGTTCAGCAGGACTGAGCAGCGTCATGTACATGAGCCTTACTCAAGCGTGGTTACCTCATCCTACCAACCCCAAGCAGGCTAGGAGCTGTAGAGAAGAACGTTTCATTTCAGAAGTAAAAGGACTCGTTCTGGTCCTGTTCTTTTCTCAGGGTGTCTGCCACCTCCGAGTATCCATCATGGTACTTCTAATACCAAGGATAAGGAGTTCTTTTCAGTTGGACAGGAAGCATCCTACAGCTGTGAGCCCGGCTACACTCTCGTGGGAACTAACCTTGTTCAGTGCACATCCTTGGGAACCTGGAGTTCTACCGCCCCGAGATGTGAAGGTGCCTACAGCTCTGTTCCATCCAAAGGAAACTCAACCGTTTCCCGATTCTTCCCATGCTAGCCTTGTCTTTTCTTTCCTAGTGAAATCATGTGATGCCATTCCCAACCAACTGCCCAATGGCCGTGTGCTGCTCCCTCCCAATTTTCAGCTTGGGGCAGAGGTTTCCTTTGTCTGTGACTCAGGGTGAGTGTGAGGATAGAGCCTGAATGCCCACCCATAGCTACACACTGCCAAGTATGAACTCGAAAGACAGCCAATGGTTTCATTTGTTTTCTGTCCTTTTCTTCATCCTTTATGACTCAGAAGCCTGTCAATTAATCAAATCTTCTCTGCTTTTTCCCAGCCAGACTGGGAATAGTGTGTTCTTCATCTGGAAGGGAAAACTTTGGATCAGAAGTGATGGCTCCTGTTAAGGAGAACAAGCTGTGGTTGGGGTTCAGTAGGATAAACTCCTTGGGGGTTAACTTGTGAAACAAGATCTTTGATGTTTTCTTCTCCAGGAACTAAGGATGTTTGTGTCAAGTTAGTCAAGAGTGTATTGAGATTTGGATGTCACAGATGCAAGAGATAACTTAAAGGGAAAAAAAAAAAGAATACAGCTCCTAGGATTTGTTTTCTCTGTGCTTTTACCTAGTCTGAATTCGTCGTGTTGCTGAGCAGAGTCACAAGTAACGTTTTCCCTTCAGCTGGAAATGCTTTAAAATGTAGATTCGATTGGACCTTGTGATGATTTGCTACCCTTATTGTTTAAGGTTCCGGTTAAATGGCAAATCTTCTAGTCAGTGTGTCGCAGAAGGAGTGACAGTAATCTGGAATAATAAGTTTCCTGTCTGTGAATGTGAGTAGAAAACAAAACTCATCAAATATAAATCGTGGCCTCTTGGTTTTTGTGAGTGCTTCCACACGTGTGTTGACTATATCCTACCACCCATGTGCATACTTTGAACACACAGAAGCCATTCTCCTCTGTCTGTGTTTTAGAATGCAGGTTGAAAGCATTTCATGGGTCGCACATTAAATGGCATATTGTATTGTGGATTTCATATATATAACAGTAAGGACTCTTGAAGGTGACCCTTACTGAATCTGAGCCTAGTACTAATGTGTTTGAAAAGTTTGCTGTGTCTTCATATGCCATTTTTCTACCGAAGAGCTCCTCTCAGAGCCAAATGGAGGATAACTAGGAAATGTGGAAGTTGGCAAGCTTCCCTTCATTCTGAAACTTACCCAGGAAAGGTGTGCACACACCAAGGTAGCTATTAGTAACTAATATCCTTCATGCCCCTTTGGGATAGGTAAATAAAGGATATGAGGTCATGATTCAAATTTTCTATTTATTTTCTATAGCTTTCTTTCTCAAAGGGGCCTGGCATTAAGAGATGACAAAATCACCTGCAGTGTGTCTTTATGGGAAGAACTAAAAGTGGTCAAGCTACCTGTAGTCCTGTATGTGTTTAAAATAGGCACTGAATTTCAGATATGTTCCAGATTTTGTAATGGTGCCCTTCACATTCTTTTGTCCTGCTGGCTGCTTACCACACGTGAGGGTACGACTTGCCTAAGGTCATACAGCTATTGAAAGACAGTGGGAATTTGAAATTCATTAACATTCCATGAATTTATTATTCTCATGTGCCAAGTTTATCTTTTGTTCATTGTTCAAATTGACCACCAGTTTGTTATCATTGTTGAATTAAGACAGTTTACATGGAGGTAAGAATTTAGGAGATTGGGAATGAACAGTCTTTATGAGTCAGAAATAAATCCCACAGATTTCTGCTTGTGAAAAGAGTGATGTGGATCTTTTGTTTAAATGTGAGTCCTTTTGTTGCAATGATCAGTACCCCTATATAATCCTTTTCCTACTTTCCAGGGATTTCTTGTGACCCTCCTCCTCCTATCAAACATGGTGGGAAAAGTCTTGTCTCTGATACCCCATCTCTGGGTACTGTTGTAATATACTCTTGCCCAAATGTCTTTCGCCTCATCGGAGAAAAGGCGCTTTTTTGCATAAGTAAAGACAACGTGACTGGAGTTTGGGACAAAGCTGCTCCTACGTGTGAATATTTCAATAGAAATGCTAGGTGCACCGAGCCCAAAGTGCCCGGAGGGTACAAGAAGGAAGGATCTAGGACATCATATACACATGGCCGTTCTGTGACATTTGCCTGTCACACCAACTTTACCATGAAAGGAAACAAAACTGTCTGGTGCCGAGCAAATAGCACATGGGGACCTACACCAGTGCCAACCTGTGAGAGTGGTAAGTATAACTCACTTGAAAACACAACCCATTCAAGAGATGGGGCTCCTGCCTTTGTGGACAGAGAGTGCTTTCCATTCCTCTAAGAGAACCGTCTACCCATATGAATGATACGGGCAGAAAGGGGAAACAAGAGGAACAGTGAACATCATAGCCTCCTGGTTTTTCTTCGGTGTAGAGGAATAGAACTGCCCCTCCAAACAAAACAAAACAAAAACAAAAAGCATCAAGACTGAGATCTAAGGAATGTGGTCTGAAGGAAGCCCAGGCAGGAAAGTCCATGAGACTCTTAACTCCCATTAAGCATCAAAAAAGCCCACAGTGGAGCTGTGGCTCAAGTGGTAAAGAGCTAGCGTTGAGCACAAAAGCTCAGAGATAGGGGCGCCTGCCCTGAGTCAAACAACAATAGAAAAAATCAACAACAAAGATCAAATGAGAAAAGGAGTTTGAGTATAAGAAAATTTAATTGAATTTATCTCATAATTGAATGGGAAAAGTTTCCCAAGAATGGGAGCAGTTAACCGGGTGATCTTTAAACTATATATCTAAGTGTTAAAATAAGAGGAAATATGGAATCTACTACCAAAAAGACAACCAAGGGAAATAACATTCATCTATGTTTATCTGTTAATATAGTCTGGCCAAGGCAGGGCTGTGCTTTCTGTGGCCTTAGCAAACATGTCCTCAAGAGATCTACTCTTCCCCCACGTCATCTCCTGAGCTGTCATATCTCAAATCAAATGACTTTGAAAGTACAGTCATTGTGTATTTCTATTTCCTTCTCATTTGATGTGGGTTGTATGGCTAACAAAAACTCTAAATCCAAATCTACATTTAATGCTATAGATACAGGCAATGTTTGGTACAAGTTATACCAACACAATGAAGTATTTTAATTTTCTTAATAAAGAACAATGCTGAGAAATTTTAAGTAGATTAAAGATCTAAGAAAATATTAACTTGTTCAAAAACAGGATCCCATCTATGTGTTAATGAGTTGATCAATCAATAGAGATAAGGATGGATAATCTGGGAGGAAGGGGATCTTAAAGTAGATGCAAATTGGCTTGTATGGAAAAACAAGCCTTTATACAGACTGAGAGCTAGTTGTCATAGCTCATGCCTATAATCATAGCCATTCAGAAAGCTAAGATGAAGCCAGCCTGGGCAGATAAGTCTGTGAGACTATTTTCTCCAATTAGCCAGAACAAACAAACAAACAAACAGAAGTGGAGTTGTGGCTGAAGTTGTGGAATACCAGCCTTAACCAAAATAGCTATGGAGAGCACTGAGGCCTTGAATTTAAGCCTTAGTACACCAGCACAAAGAAATAAATAAATAAGACTTATGTATTGACATAAAAGAGATGTTACAGACATCAAATACACTGTATCATTAAATAAAGGAAGCAAGACTAAAGTAATATATATGATATCCATAGACATCTCATACATCTACATATGCATATACACCAGATATAAAAAGCCAATAAACAATATTCTAATGTCTGATAATATAACTCTCTAAATGATAACATGTACCTTTTGGACCAGAGAACAATTTTAAATCTGAGATGAAAATAGCCTTTTTAACAATTAATCTTTTTCTCAAGCCAAAGTATAGTGTAATCAAAGATAAGAACATTACAATAATCATGACAGGAAATGGATACAATGATACAATGTCTGACCTTTAAAGGCTCAATTCAGAGCTGAGCATGATGGCTTAAGCCTGTAAACCTAGTCATTTGAAATGTGGAGATTAGAGAATCACACTGAGAGGCCAGCCGGGGCATAAACGTTCATGAGCTCTCATCCCCACCACCTGGTAGGTAGAATGGCATGTATCTGTTACTACAGTGTAACCTAGTGGCTGGGTGCAGTGGTACAGGCCCGTCATCCCCAGAGGCACAGGCAAGAACAAGGAGGATTACAGTCCAGGTCCCTGGGCAGCAAGTGAGACTCTATCTCAAAAATAACCAAGGGGCTGGTGGTATGGTTCACGTGGTAGAGCACTCAGGTATTAGATCCTGAGTTGAATCCCCTGGTACTGCCAAGAGAATTTTTTAAAGGCTGAGTTGAAAGTTAATGATGAACAGCGATACATAGACCACATGCCATTTATGTAACTCTTGGTTCTATGTCAGCATTTAGCTTGTGAAGGCTGTATTATCTGATGGCTTCTTTTTCTGATGTGTATAAAGATTTCCCGCTTGAGTGTCCGCCACTTGCTGAGATCCGTCATGGGTATCACACAGGGCAAAAGGCTGGCCACTACGCCCCAGGGTCATCTGTGACTTATAGCTGCCAGCCTGGTTACTTGCTTGATGGACAGAAGACTATTGAGTGTTTATCCTCAGGAGACTGGAGCTCAGACAGTCCCACTTGCAAAGGTACCCTAAAATCACAATCTAGTTGAAGAAATTGGGTTGTTGTTCTGTTATTTGGTATGCTTTCTTATGTGTGGATGTTTTCTAGAGGCTCAGTGTGACCCTCTAGGACCATTTCCCAACGGGAAGGTAAAGGCACCTGCAAGTCCTCGGTTTGGTGTAACTGCGAGCTTCACCTGTAATGAAGGGTGAGTGGAGGGGAGGAGTGAGATTTCATTCATTTGGATTACACACACAGTATAAACCATGAAGCCTGTAGAAAGAAGGGATCTCTGTAAGAAGAGCCTGGAGTGGGGTTGTGGGAGAGAGGGAGGGAAGGGGAGTAAGACAGAGGGAGGCCCAGAGGAGGAGGGGGAGGGGAGAGAGAGAGAGAGGGCGCTGATAGAAAGAGTAGGTGCTCAGAGATTAAGTGAACTTGTCTTTGATTTTTAAGTAAAGGCTGTTGTTCTTCAGCACAAACTATCAACAGTTCCAAAACGACAACCCTCTCTTTGCAGGTATTGGTTAAAAGGCCAACCTTCTAGTCAGTGTGTGATTGTTGGACAAAAAGCTGTTTGGACCAAACAGCCTGTCTGTGAAGGTAGGTGAGGTAACTCACTGGTTTCTAAGGAATCTCAGAGGCTCAACAGGACACCACATACATTTGTTATCATACAGGCTCACAACAAAGAACTAACATCTTTAGGGATTATGATATCACTGACAGCCTCCATGGTATCAGCCTACCTGACCTCGTTATTCTCTGACTTCCTCCAGTCCAGGAAGAGTTTCTAAGCTTTTCCTTCCCTCAAAACTACATAGAGCTGGGCATCAGTAAGCCTAGCAACTCAGGGGGCGGAGATGTGAGGATCATGGTTCGAAGCCAGCCTAGACAGGAAAGTCTATGCAACTCTTACCTCCAATAAACTACTCAAAAAAGCTAGAAGTAATGCTGTGGCTCAAGTGGTAGAGCACTAACCCTGAGCAAAAGAAGCTCAGGGATAGCACTCAGGCCCAGAGTTCAAGTCCCAGGGCAAAAAACAAAACACAACTACATAGACATGCTAAGTACACAGCCAGGTTACTCACACAAAGCAGATCTTAGAAATGGATGGAGCCAGACTAGGTAAACTCAGAAAGGAAGTTCCAAGTTATCATCGCAGCTAGCTGCCTGGCTGGACTCATTCCAGATTCAAAATATCATTGCCTTTGAACCTAGTATGTGAGGAAGTTCCCAGCAGCACTTAGGGCCTTCTTATCTGCAGTCTGTGATCATTTGTATCTCTCTGCAATTTCTCTAGAAATCCTTTGCCCAGCGCCTTCCGCTATCCTCAATGGAAGACATACAGGCAGCTCTTCAGTGCGTTTTCCCTATGGAAGTAGAGTCACTTACACGTGTGACCCAGGCCCAGAGGGAGGAATCGAGTTTGTCCTTGTAGGGGAGAGCACTATCCACTGTACCGCGGGGAGCCTGATGTCTGGGAGCTGGAGCGCCCCTGCCCCACGCTGTGAACTCTCTACTTCGGCCATTCAGTGTTCACATCCCCAGATTCTCAGAGGCCTGACATTATCTGTGCAGAAAGAGCAATATTCCTATAATGAGACTGTGGTGTTCGCCTGTGAGTCTGACTTCACCATGAAGGGCAGCAACAAAGTCCGGTGCAATGCCCAAGGAATATGGGAGCCACCAGCCCCGGTGTGTGAAAAGGGTAGGTGTTCCAGTAGTCAGCAAAGGTGCTACGGATGCCTGGCTTTGAAAGAGCTAAGAGGCAGAGCTAAGGGACTTTAAACAGGGCCTTTTCCAGCTCCAGTAGGCTCAGTCACACTAATGTCTATGGCGTGCTTTCTTCATACCATCTCCACTGTTGTTTCGATGCTCAGAGGGAAAAATGTTAGAGATCACTAAGTTGTCCATTTCTTTAGGAAAGACAGAAAGAATCGGGGAGACCACTTCTTTGTGCTAAACATTGATTTCTTAAAAGCCAAGTCATCAAAGCCTCACCCAGGGCTATGTCAGAAGCCCCTTCAAAGCATCTGAGATGGCACTTTAAGAATGGAGGTGAGAGGAGAGGAGTTACACTCAACAGGAAACTGAATAAGATCTGAAACTGCTTCAGCACAGAAAGGAAAACCAGACAGAGGGGAAAGCCACGTTCAAAAATTACTGCGAGATGCCCCTCTGTGCCAGGCAGCTGGCACCAGCATGGAATTCTAACATTCATGCCAATTACTTTGGGTTTCTTTCTGTTGTGCACCTGTGTGTGTGTGTGTGTGTGTGTGTGTGTGTGTGTACTTGAACTTGGGGCCTTGCATTCTTGCCTGGCTCCATCTTTGTTGTTGTTGTTGTTTGTTGGAGCTAAGAATCTTTCACGTCTGTCTACCCTGATCTCAGCTTGAGAATGAGCAGCTCCAAGAGTAGCTTGGCTTAGAGGCATGATCTATCTACCGCGCCTGGTTTCGGTGGTTTACATTAAAAGAGGATTTTTGTATTTTTCCTTTGCTTTAGCATGCCAGGCCCCTCCTGAAATTCTCAATGGGCAAAAAGAAGAGAAACACATGGTCCGCTTTGACCCAGGAACATCTGTAAACTACAGCTGTGACCCTGGCTATGTGTTGGTGGGAGAAGAATCCATACATTGCACCCCTGAGGGGACGTGGTCCCCTGCTGTCCCCCAATGCAAAGGTACCAGACCTCAAGTACACTTGATATTCTGGCTTTAAGATTACCTTGAGTTGGTTTTCTCATCCTTGTCTCTTTTCTTAGTGGCAGAGTGTAAACCCATAGGACCACAACTCTTTACAAAACCCAAGGACCGGTTCATTAGACCAGCTGTTAATGCTTCTTGTGGTGAAGGGTGAGTGAAGACTGAATATCAGTCAGAATGGGCTTATCAGTGCTCACTGCGATCTCTTATGTAAGGGTTTCTTTCACTCATGGACTATGGACCCCACTAGTTCTCCAAGCATGGAAACTAGACAATGGATGGATGGTATGGAAGCTGGCTACCTTCTGTTGTTGATGATGATGTTGCTTTCCTATTTCACCTTGTCCTGAAAGTGTTCAGTCTGCTTGGAAGCCAATAGCTTTTGCTTAGCTTCCTGTGACCCACATTGCTGAATGACCTGACTCTTTATCTCTAGGTCCCGATTGAGTGGGAGTGCTTACCAACTGTGTCAAGGTACAGTTCCTTGGTTTGTAGAGATTCGCCTTTGTAAAGGTGAGTAGCAAAAAATGTCAGGATGTACAATGGTTGAGAACTGTGTGCTCCCTGGGAATTGTCTGTGTTAAGCCAGGCTTTGGGGATTCATGCATTTGATACTGTTCTGTTAACTTTGTCAGCAGCTATGGTTGCACAGCTGAGCTGTGTTTTTATTTTCACCCCTTTATTCTCGCCAGCTAAATGAATACCTCGCTGTGGTTTAGGGTGATATTAATGATGATGATGAATATGTGTTCACCCACTATTCTTCATTTGGGATACATTGGAGTTTTAGTGATTAAGGAAGGATCTGGATTCAGATTCTTCTCCTACTGCTTCATAGCTGTTTGACCTTAAGCAACTCACATAGAGTCTCTAGAATTCTAGTCACTCAGCTTTACATCTACAGGAACCAAAATTCTTGCAATTAAATGGTACTGTCCCTACTTTCTGAATGATGAAGCTGCCTGTTGCTAACTAGATGTTCATTCAACAACAAATATTCCTTGCTAACCATATAGATTATCATACAGCAAAGAGATTATACTACAAAAAAAAAGGACATTTCATTTCCCTATTGGTTATTTAAAAAAATTCTTCTTTTCAGTAGCAATTGATTCCTGGGCCTTACTGCCTCATGTAACATGAACTTGATCAGCGTATTCACTTTTAATGAAGATGTTTCTCTCCTCTGGAATCTGCTTACATTGTGTTTTATATACATAATGAACTTGGATATGACTCCCATCAGGAAAATCCATTCGTGCCCTGGATCATAACCAGCTTCTCTTCTCTTCTTTCATGTGAACAAACTTCTACAGTATCTTTTTGTCTCTCTAGAAATCACCTGCTCACCACCCCCTGTTATCTATAATGGGATACACACAGGAAGTACTTCAGAAGATGTTCCCTATGGGACAACAGTCACGTATACATGTAACCCTGGGCCAGAGAAAGGAGTGCAATTCGACCTCATCGGGGAGGGTACCATCCGATGCACAAGCAAGGACGGAGTGAGAGGCAGCTGGAGCAGTCCAGCTCCCCTCTGCAGACTCAGGCTCCCTGTGGTCCAGTGCTCAAAGGTGATCATTGACAATGGATACACGACATCTGTCAAGAACGCCTCGTATGTCTACAATGACAGTATAACCATCAAGTGTAATCCTGGCTACATTTTGAATGGCAGCAGCCAAATTCGTTGCAAAGCCAATAACACCTGGGATCCTCATATACCAACTTGTGAAAAAGGTAAGAAAAAAAATGCAATGGGAGTTTCTTTCAAAGCATTTATTTATTAATACTTGTTTGTTATCTCCACCCAAAGCTAGACTCATACCAAAAGGCCATGGAAAAGGAGCATGGGCTACTTTCCTACCTTCCCATTGTTCCCTTGTACACAGTGTGCGTTCCTTATGCAAATGCCCACCCCCTGGGATGTGGGATATACGCAGGATGGATAATGAGATAAGCTTTCTAAAGGGACTTATTTCTTCACAAGAGAAGAAAGCATTCCATGGTGGATGAAAGCTACCCTAGCCTTGGCTTCAGAGTTTTAGATTATGTTGTGCCCTGGCAGTTCTAAGGCTGAAATCCCTCTGTGTTTACGTGGGGAGTTTTCTCTCCAGGCTGCCAGGTTCCTTCTGAGATTCATCACGGTCGGCATACAGGTGGAAATATGATCCTTTTTGTGTCTGGGATGTCTGTAGACTATACTTGTGACCCTGGCTACATGCTTGTGGGAAATAAATCCATCCACTGTATGCCTTCAGGACAGTGGAGTCCGGCCCCATGATGCGAAGGTACTTTTGGCTCCAGAGTTGTCTTTCTTTCTGCTGAGATGCATCTATAAGTAACTCCAACTTTGCTCTTCCAGAAGGATGTGAACCTGTGCAGCTTCCACGTGGTTCACCTGTGAAACTAGTGAATACGTCCTGTCAAGATGGGTAAGTGTGAAACAATGCATGCCGAGAAAGAAGTCACTATGGATGGTGTATTAACTCCACCAAAGCTTGTGTCAGGCAGCCCCTCCAGGGGTCCTTCCTCAGCACACACAGCCAGCAGCCACCTTAGGTTCCAACTCTGACTCCTTCATGTCTTTTTGATATAGGAAAGGCTTTGATGTGAGTGACTGACTTACAAGAACATGGGTTTTAGTCTGTCTCTGTCAACGTTCTTACGTAGAAGTACCTCTGTACTTGGGGTTTGAAGAGGCTAGGTGGTAGAAATGTGATCTGGGGAAGAGGAAGCACATTATAATCTGTCTCTCTGTAGGTACCAAATGACTGGCTATACTCATGAGAAGTGTCAAGATACTAAGAATGGGGTTTGGTTTCAAAAGATTCCTGTTTGTACAGGTAAACCGGGGTGTGGGGGGAGGGAACTCTCCATACACCTGACATGTTAGAGAGGGCAAGACACTGAAGAGCTAATTGGCAAACCTGTGATAATTTAGTGTGTGGCTAACACTAATACTGGGAAACAGATTGTTTAGAAAGAATGAATAGATGTTATATATCTGCTCATTTTACTATGTGGAAAAATTGTAGCCTATATTTTCAGGATACCAAAACATCATTGTCTTTCTTACCTGCTAAGATTTTATCATATTTTCTGATTTTTTGTATTAAAAATCAAGTATGTGTATGTATTTTTGGAATGTTTTATGAGTGTGCATTGCTCACACAATCACATTTAATGGAGTCTTTCAACACCATTATAATCCAGGCTCCAAAGAACAGACAATTGTGTAACGTAATGATGCGTTTCATGGTGATATCTGTGCCTGAATGCAAACATTTGGATGTACTAGATGAAGTTGAATCCCCTAATATCTCTTCTGCAGTTATTCACTGTCAGCCTCCTCCCATGATTGCCAATGGGAAGTACAGAAGCACAGTGGAAGAGCCATTCCTATATGGAAGTAAAGTCTTTTATGAATGTGACCCGGGATTCTATCTTCTGGGAGAGAAAAATCTACAGTGCAGCAAAGATTCTAAAGGACAAGGATCCTGGAGTGGGCCTCTCCCACAGTGTTTACGCTCTCCTGTAACTCACTGCCCTAACCCAGAAGTCAAACACGGATACAAACTCAATAAGACACGTGCTACCTATTCCCACAACGATATAGTGCATGTGGCCTGCAATCCTGGCTTCCTCATGAATGGTAGTCACTTGATAAGATGTCACACAGATAACACATGGGTACCAGGCATACCAACATGTATCAAAATGGGTAAGTCCTTGAAGGGATGAAGTCAAGAAGGGTGTTGAATATGCACTTGTATTCAGCCTAAGGAAAATCATCTCAAAGCCAAAGCAGTTATAATGTTATGTCAGATGCCTTTTTCCTTCTTCTCACTTCTATCTGGATCGTGTTTTCCACCATTCCTTTCTCATTATATTCAGCAATAGCACATGAAAAGACGATGTTAGCTTCCAAATTGATGGGGTCTCCAATTTTACTATTCCTATGAATTGAGATTTTGGAGGGGAAAAAATCTCAATTTTTTTAGGCACATGTCTGACAATAACATTGCTTGATATTTTGATATTTAAGGCTACTGTGTCAGTGAAAAGACCTGTGAATAATCTGGAAAATGAAATTCGCCTTCAAAGCTACTGAACTGCATTTCTTGTAGTGTCCATTATCATCGGGGACATCTTTGATCCTGTTGGTGATTCTCTAGAGCTGAGTCTGCCATTTGAGAATTCAACTGATTTCAGTTCCCAGAACCACTCCTTTTAATCAGCACAGTGGTCTTATATGAACGGAAATCTGTTTCTACATTCCAGGACTTTACAGTGAACTTGCAGTGAGGTTTCCAGTGGCTAGAACTTAGGATCAAACTTTTCTAATTTGTTACATTGGGTTGTTTTACTTCCTGCTTCTTGGGGGCATTGAATGAAGCCTGGACTGCAGCCTGATCTCTATTTAAATGGAAAAACATTACACTAGGTGGGGTCCACAGCCACTGATGTTTTAACTTCATTTTGATACTTTTCATCGGATTATACATGGCATACAAGAAATGCCTGTTTGCCCAGCGTTGCTTGCTCTAGTTGGAATGAATGTCTCTGGTTAACAATTAATTAGCCAATAGGCATAAGTATGCCCTTGTGCTGACCTAAAGATCTTTTCTTTTTGCACTCTAAGCTTTCTTAGGCTGTCAGTCTCCCTCTACAATCTTCAAGGGGAATCACACTGGTGGAAATACAGCACAGTTTTCTCCCGGGATGTCCATCCGGTACAGCTGTGACCAAGGCTACCTGCTGGTGGGAGAGGCCCTCCGTGTTTGCACTCATGAGGGAATCTGGAGCCAGCCTGCCCCTTACTGTAAAGGTCCTTCATCTAATTCTGTTGATATTATTCTTCCTAGTGTACTAAGTTGTTCCCAAATAGATATGTTCATTTAAGCACTTCCAACTTAAAATCATCAGAGTAATGGCTCACTTTATCAAATGCATAGAACTAAATCAATACATTAACACATCCAAGTATCTTTAAAAAATAAGATAAAATGACTTGGCCAGGCACTGGTGGCTTACTCTTGTAACCCTAGCTACTCAGGAGGCTGAGATTTGAGGATTACAGTTCAAAGCCAGGAAAGTTCTTGAGATTTTTGTCTCCAATTAACCACCAAAAAGCCAGAAGTAGAGCTGTGGCTTACAGGGTAGAATGCTAGCTTTTAGCAAAAAAAAGCTCAGGGACAGCACCCAGCCACTGAGTTCAGCTCCAGGATCAGCACACACATACACAAAAAAGCCTTTTGTCATATTCTGCCCAGCTACTGACCCTTATGGAGTCATTTCAGATATAGAAAATTAAGTTGGTTTTATAAACTGAACTAAAGCACAGATTGTATTCACGTTATAGTGACTGTTGCAATAAGTGCATATGAAAAACACCATTACAAGAACATGACAAGCATTTTGAGTTCACTTGCTCTTATAGGCAGTGTGGGTAAAATGTGTATAAAAATCTCAGAAAGTGATTTTCATTTTCCCAACAAAGTATAGGAAATACAAGCAGTAAGTTAACATCTAATATTCTAGAATACTTTTTACAAAATGCTAGATATTATGCACAGGCCTTACCTTAACCTTGATAAGTTCCATGGAAGATGGTTCCATTATTATTTCTTTCTCATGGGTGGGGTCCTTGTGGCATAGAGAGATTTGTAACTGGCTCAGGAGGTAGTCAGTATTCCAATCAACGATCTTATACTATTGACCTCTACGCTGAACAAATGAAAGAAGAAATAACAAAGCATGTATGCACATGAATAATCACAGAGTAAGACTAGAAGTGCAGAACAACAGTAATTATGATACTTCCCATTCTAAGAAGACATTCAAAATATCCAAAACTGTTAGCATAGACATAGAGGCACACACACAAAAAGAAACCAATCCAGCTTAAATTATCTTCAAGTGGTTGAAACAGGTGGCTGGAAGACACTTTGCATACTGAGAATGAAATAAATTGGTCTCAGGAAGCTTTCCATTAGGAGAAACTTTACTTTCTTGGTAAAAGAACGAACTATAATCTGCTTCAACTAGATACCTTTCATTGCAGAGGTAAACTGTAGCTTTCCTGAAGAGATCAATGGAATTCAGAAGGGACTGGAGCCAGGGAGAGTGTATCAGTATGGAGCTATAGTAACCCTGGAATGTGAAGATGGGTACACCCTGGATGGCAGTCCCCAGAGCCAGTGCCAGGGTGACCACCAGTGGAACCCTCCCCTAGCGGTCTGCAGATCAAGTAAGTACAGGGTACTTCACGGATGTTTGTCTCAGTCAAGTACAATGTTTGAGACTCCCAAGACTTCAATTAGCACAGGTCTTTGACCAGTGCAATTATAACCAATTATCTTGAAGCTAGGTATCTATTCTAGAAAAAGTATATCTTTCTGAGAGTGAGGGACAAAAATAAAAGGAAATCAAAAGAGGGGAGCTCAGTTAAGAAAAGCAAGCAATGCAAACAAAATTAACAGTCTTCCATTTTGTAAAGAGCTGTAGCAGAGATTTCCCATCTTGTTGCATTCTATCCTGAAAAATCACTAATTATAAAGTTGAATATGTTGGCTTTTTACCCATACAGAACTCCCCCCAACTTACTTAACTAAAGTGAAAAACAAATCAATGAGTTATTACATAATTTTTTTAAAAAAGTTGTTATAGCCAGGCACTGGTGGCTCACGCCTGTAATCCTAGCTATTCAGGAGGCTGAGTTCTGAGAATTGCAGTTCAAAGCCAGCCTGGGCAGGAAAGTCTTTGAGATGCTTATCGCCAATAAACTACCAGAAAACCGGAAATGGTGCTGTGGCTCAAATGGTAGAGCGCTCGCCTTTAGCTGAAGAGCTGAGGGACAGCACCCAGGCCCAGAGTTAAAGCCCCACGACCAATCAAAAAAAAGTTGTTATAACTCAATGATTTAATAGTTTATAAGCAGACTGGGAAGGGAGCTGAGTGTTTTCACAGCACATAATCAGAAGATAAAGGAACTTGGGGGACAATGGATAGTGACACTACAACTGATGTTTTTATTTTATATTCTCCTTAGGATCATTGATTCCGATTCTTGGTGGTAAGTTTCCCTAAGCACTTGGACAAAAGCTGTTATTACAATGTTTCATAAATACATATACAATTAGACACCCCATATTTTTCCTGTTAATATTTTTTTTCACTTTAACCCACTGTATATGATCTTCTTTGGTATTTTAAGTATATTTTAATGAACATGCATGTTACAAAATACTTCTTTAGGATAGCACTGGAGGACTGACTTAAACCGCCATTTAGTACTGGTTCCTAAGTTAGAAGGTTGATCTTCATTAGCTTTTGGTATTTAAATCCCTGCTGCATGATTTAGTGCTTTTGAATTCAGCAGCCTTACGATGTTGTAGCAAAATAAATTTGTCACTGAGAGTCAAATGTTGTTAGATAAAATCACGAGATCCTGGCATCCTATGTGCCTAATTTCAACCTAGTGATAGGAATATTACAAGTAAAATGGAAAGGAACAGAGAAGCTCTATGGAAATTTGACTGAAAATCTGTGGTCATGAGCTTGGTACTTTAGCAATTAAATGAACTGGATCAAATCAGGAAGAAAAAAAAATCTTAAGTTCAATTGTAATCCTCCAGGAATTCAGCATTTCTGGTTGAGAAAAGGTATAGCCTTCACAATCGCTTCATAATAGGTCATATTCTTGTGATATTTGAAATTCACCGTTTCCCACCCTCCCCCCCCCCCCCCCGCCACTCCAGGTATTTGTGCCGGTTCAGCACTGCTTATTGTCTTGGCTGTCATCGCCTTATTCATGATAATAAAATACAGAGGACGGTAAGTTCAGAAGCCTTGTGTGTGTTGCTAGGGAAATAGGGATCTGAAGAGAGATGGTGACTGTGTCTATTTAGTCTTCTTTTGTTCTGTAGCTACTGAACTGTACCTACCGTGACTACCCCCACATTAGGCTCACTCACAAAGCCTAGTAGTAGGATATGCACTCTGACAGGAAGGTGATCACAGGTCATGAGGCAGATCTTCCATACACTTGCATGTCATGACAGGGAGCTGAGTTGGTCCTTCAGGATCTCAGGCAGGGAAGTCTTCAGATTTGCATTTTCAAATGCCGGAGTAGGATCCAGCTCTCCACTAAGGGAGCAGTGGCAGGGATTAGGAGGAGGCACACAGGTAAGAGGTATCTTTGCTGTTGACCTGATTAGGATTTCCAGGACTTAGTGACTCACTGGATGTGGGGAGCTAGGGGTACACAGAACAACTCCTGTGATGGTGATCCAGTGTCTCACCAAGAGAAGAGAGGAACAGCTCATGGAGAAACATAACCAGCTCCATCTAGCCTATATTCTGAGTTTGGTGATGGAGGACTTGGGGGAAGGGCGTGGGATCAGGCAGGTGTCACCAGTATCACACCGAAAGCCTTGACACTAAGAAGAACAGAAAAAGTAACAAAGTAAAAAAGATGGATGAGACCAGACTGAGCAGGAAAAAACCACTCTGTTCCATAGAATTCAAGAAAAAGAAGGGTCTCAAAAAAAAAAAGTCTGTTATTTGCATGACTTTCCCCACAGGAAGCTAGAAGAATAATTTTGGCTAAAAGTAATTAAAAGTTTAAATAAATAGAAACTGTGGTCTCTATCTCTTTCCTTCATGCTACTACTAACTTTGCTATCAGACCACTGCATGTGTGGGGAACACTGAAAGTTTAGAAATGCTTACAATGCAAACACTTCATAGAGCTCCAGTATGTTTATTATCGTTTGCTCATTTGTTATCCATATACTGTCTTTAAATGCCCTGATATGAACAGAGCATATATGTGATAGTAAATTCCTGTCTTGTTCTCTTGTTTACATTTTCTAACTTATTTTACTTTATTAATTAATTAATTTATGTTGTAATTGTTGTTTTTGGTGGTGGTGGTGGTGTATGTGTGTGTGTGTGTATGTGTGTGTGTGTGTGTGTGTGTGTGTGTGCTAGTCTGGGGCTTGAATTCAAGGCCTAAGAGCTATCCCTGAGTTTGGGGGCTCAAAGCTAGTGCTCTACCACTTGAGCAACACCTACACTTCTGGCTTTTTGGTAGTTAATTGGAGATAAGAATCTCACAGACTTTCCTGCTTGGGCTAGTTTTGAACTGTAATCCTCAGATCTTTGCCTTTTAAGTAGCTAGGATTATAGGTGTGAGCCACCAGAGCCTAGCTTCAGTTTATTTTCTAATAATTGACATAATATTTGACACTTGAGCTCTCTAGAACCCTTTTAATAGAGGAGTAATAAACACTTAAAAATCAATATTTAAAACTATATTTAAATGCTTTGATTTAAATAATTAAATATTTAACTAAAAGCTTAAATGTTTAAAATTAAAATTTTTAATTTTAATTAAATATTAGAATCAATATTGTAAAAATTAAGTATTTTTAAAACAAACATTTGGAAAAGATTGTGTTATTCTTTTCTAGGCTATCTAAGTTACTTTAACAAAGCCTAAATCTCACAGGGCCCTAAAATTTTCCTTCTGTATGATTCCTAATGTGCCTCCTATAAACTGATTTCTTAAATATGCTAGTATGAGACATGGTGTAAGGTTGCCTCAGCAGTAGTTTTCTTTCCTCACTGGTTTTTTCAAAGCCCTATATGATACTATAATCACATTTTATTGTCCTTCACTAATTCTGCTAAAGTGGTTTTAGAAGTATAGCCAGTCTATGGATGGAGATCAATAGTAGAGTGTTTTCTTAGCATGACCGAAAGCCTGGGCTTTATCCCCATCAATATACACAGACACACAGAGACAGACTGATGGACACACACACACACACACACACACACACACACACACACACACATGCATGTGCTTTTGAAGAATCAAATTAAAACAGTGTCTTGTGTCTTAAGTTTTCAGTGCTGTATCAGTATATGAGAATTTCAACTTAAACATCAAATATGCAAGTTTCCTTTTAAATTGTAATATAAAACTGATCCCACAGTGGTAATATTATGATCACATGCTAAAATAAAAATTGCTTTTTTCAATTTTTCTTCTTTCAATTTGAGGATCATTGTTGTTAGTTTTAAGAGTCATCCTAGACATGGAATAAAGCTATCTACCACCTGCTTCTGACATGGGCAGTTAGCAAAGTAACAAATTATTTATTCTCATGTGCCATTAAATAAAAGGAAGTTACAGTATTTACTTCATAAGATATTAAAGACAGTAAGATGAAATCATCTGTGCAAAGTACTAAAAGTTGGGAAAATGACAAACAACAGATACATCTTTATCGTAATCATGATCAAGGAATAAAGCTGATCATTTTAACCTTTTTTCTTATTTCTTCCATTTAGCCATTATTATACAAATGCAAAGCCTAAAGAAGGAGTGCTTCACTTAGAAACACGAGACGGGTATTCTGTTGATCCGTACAACCCAGCAAGCTGAGAAGAAGACAAATTGGTATCTAATGCCCCTGAAATATTTTTATTAATGCCTATGTCCAGACTGCCTTCATTTTTAATCAATAACTACTAAAGATATATATGGTTCTATCTCACAGGTGTCAATCATCATGCCAGAGCATTAATCATTTGCATACTTACTATTGTCAACTCGTGTTCTTAGTTTTTAAACCCATTTGTCCATTCAACAAATACTAATAAAATGGCTAAGAGCAAAACAAAGAAAATAAGAACTGTTATGAAGAGAAATAGGCCAAAGGGGACAGAGAAAAAGACAGTTACAAGGGAAGACCTCACTGAGAAATTGAGCGTTGTATAAAGACTTCAGGGAAGCAAAGGGCCAGCCATGTGACTCCGTTGAGAAGGAGCACTCCAAAAAGAAAGAACAGCCAGAAGGTGGTGGGTGCCTGATGTGTTGGAAGCACCCCTCAGGTGGCCAGTAAGCATATCATAGACAAGGAAGAGAATGGTAGAAATCCAATCAGAGAGAGAAGAGGTAATGATTGAGAGAAGGGGTAATGATTGTAGAGAGAATGCTAGATTGTCCTAATAACTTTGGATGCTGACATGGGAACCCTTGGCGTTTTGAGCCTAAGTGCTACATAATCACTTCAACTGCTGTGTGAGAAAGAGACTTTAGGAGAGCAAGGGTGCGTGATGGGGAATCAATTACAATAACTCGGGCAAGAAACTGGCAGCTTCTACACACATTTTCTTTTAGAGATAATAATAATAAGAGTTGCAGATGGTGTTTACCAGAATATAAGGGAGAAAGAGAGGCATCCGTGAAGCTGCGCTGGTGGCATCATTTTTGGCTTACGCATCTAGAAGAATAGAGTTGTCATTTAGATAACTGAGTGTGAAGAGTGAGGCTAGGAAGAGAAATCGGGACTTAAGACTTTGGAGATGCTAAGCGTGAGATGTCTCATGGACATCCAGCTCAGTGTTGAGAAGGCCAGTGATGCATAGCTAGCTCTGCGCTGTGAACAATAGGCCAGGCTGCACATACACATTTGGACCTTGTAAGCATATGGATAAACTAAATAAGATCTGAAGATCATCTAGGAGGTAACAAGGAGGAAAAAAAATCTAAGCCCTCAGCCTTGGCTCTTGTAATATTAAAGTCATAGAGAAGAGACCAATAAAGAATGGAAGCAACAGCTTGAGCCAAAGCTGCAAAGTAAGATATGCTAAAGTCAAGTGCAGAGAGAAGTTTATAGAGGAAGGAACAACCAACTTGGTCAAGTGTTACCAATTAGTCAAAAAAGATAGCTGGGTGCCAATGACTCACACCTGAGATCTTCAGATCTCAGCCTCCACGTGACTCAAAGCCAGCCCAGGCAGGAAACTCCAAGAGACTCTTATCTCCAATAAACTGCTCAAAAAAGCCAGAAATGGCACTGTGGCTCAAGTGGTAGAGCCCTCACCTTGAGCTGAAGAGCTTAGGTACAGCGTGCAGGCCCAGATTTCAAGCTCCATGTCTAACCAAGAGAGAGGTGGGGGGAGGGAAGTGAAGGAAGAGAAATTGTACATATTAACATAGACACCTCCCTCCCTGTTTTCCCATCAGGAGGACCAGATAAATAGAGCAATAGCATGACTTAAGTGGGGAAAAAATAAATAAGAAGTCAAGGGAAAGAATTCTGAAGAATGATTAAATATAGTGTGGTTTTTATAGGCTGAAGGGAATGATCTAATGATTGTAATGAATGATCTAATCACTTAATGAATATAATAGAAGGCAGGGGAGAAGGAAACATGCTGGGGCAACATTTGGCTGCATTAGAGAATGCAAGACCTGCTTCTTGAACAGAGGAGTTACCCTGAAATGGTCAAGACTGAGTCACTGCCCTGAAATGGTCAAAGACTGAGTCACAGAAGAGAAGTCAGAACACAGGGCATAGACAAAGATGGGTGGGAAGGGGGATGGGAAATGCACATGGTGAAGTTCTCTTCCAGTGGTTCTGTTTCCAGAACGGAGCTGAGTTGAGAAAGATGTTAGGGATTAAGTATGTTGCTAGGGAACAAGGAGACAGACCCTGTGACCGGTCTGCCAGAAGTTCCATGGAAAAACTGGGGATTATTCATTGGAAGGTTACCTTAGCAGGCGTTATGCTGTGGGTCTTTCATGCCTTGCCTCATTTGGCCCTTACCACCGCTTTGAAAAGATGGCTGTTATCTCCAGATAACACAGGATTCATTTGCAAGATGAGAAAAACTAAGGTTGAAAACTTTCTCTGGGACAAAGTCAAGAATTCAAGTTCAGACTGCTTTCTCCTACACAACCACCTCTGCCCCTTAGTTCACTAAGACCAATAAGACTTGTGTGTGTCCTAGTGAAAGATTAAGTACCATAGCAAGGTACAAAAAACCCCTTGTGGCCATTAAGGAAGAAAGAGCTGCTCGCTGCCAGGGAATTGTAGAAAAAGGAAGAGGGAAACGGAGGATCATCGTGGCACAGGGGTCCTTAAATACAAACCTGTGAGGCCTCGTAGTAAAGCTATTGCATAAACATCTATAGAATTGATAGACAAGTAAGAAATAGAGTATTTCTTCCATTCTCCCTCATTTAGCATTATATATTTGTTCTAGATCATGTCAAGGGAGAAGTACTTCTTAACAGAATGATAGCTTCTTAGAAGCTTTACAAACATTCTAGCTGACTTGTAGGTTGAACGTTAAGGCCTTCCTTATTTACACTTTCACTTTCACTGCTGCTATTCCTGCTGAACAGAAATGATCTATTTCAGTGCCTCCTGGACTGGGATCCAACTGCACATGAACTCAAGAACTCCTTCAAATATCAGCAAGTCTCTCTCTGTGGTCTCCACATCAGTGAAATGATTTCATAAGCTAAAACTTTCCCTTTGCACTTATTCTCCAGAACAAAGAAACCTTGCTAGATGGTCCAGATGGAGCCCAGCTTTCTACTGGGTGTGGTACAAGAATTTCTGAAGCTCAACTTGAGATCCACCGGAAGCCTTTTGATAAAGTATGGCTATGTTGGACACACCTTATTGGGAACACTGGCTTTATTTTTAATAGCAGCTGCCTTCTCTGATGTGATTAATTAGTCCCATTTGGTTGGAATATTTCTCAGGACACTGAATATTCTTTGTCATAGTCACTTGGTAATCTCAATTTGCACATGGTTTTGAAGTTGTTGTAAAGTTATACTTATAAATAGTTAGCGCTGGAAGTGGCGCTGTGGCTCAAATGGTAGAACATTCGCCTTGAGCTGGAGAATTCAGGGACAGCACCCTGGTCCAGAGTTCAAGCCCCACAACTGACAAAAAAAATAATAATAAATAACTATTTAGTGTACGATTAGACTGTTAGATACTTCATAGTTTTCTCATGAGCTTCAGTAGTTGGTAGGATGTAATTTCATAAAGTGTACATAAGCCGTTAAAATAAATTGTATTTGTTTAAAAACAGATTTGCCTTATGTGACTCTGTCTTTCTGGAGTCAATAAACTCTTGAATGATAATCATAATCTTAGAGTTTCTAGAGATCATGTTTAATAGTTATTCATTCTGGATATAAAACACTTGACCATTCTTGCCAAACTCCAATTCACAAATTCAACCTACACTCCCAAGACTCATCCTTATTTTCCAGCCAACACCTTCCTCCAATCCATCCATTCTTTCCCACTAGATACTAGTTGTCGATGCTGATTTCCTTTTATTCAATTATTTAAACTATTGAGAAACAAAACTCTCCTCACTGATGATTTCCTCTGTTCATCTTCTCCTAGATGAGATATGCTCCCAATCCACATCTTTTGTTTTCATTTTTATTTTGGGTGTTACTGAGGTTTGAAATCATGGCCTTGAGCTTGCTAGACGGGCACTCTGCCATTTGAACTACATTTACAAAATCACTTCAGATACTGCTTTCACGATTTTCAGATATATTCTCAGAAATGGAGTGCTTTTCTACATCTTTTTTGTTTTAGTTATTTTTAATGGAGTTGTACATTTATGCCAGGACCAGCCTGGACCGTGAACCTCGAATTTCTATCTCCAACACAGCTGTGATGACAGGTACATGCCACAGTGCTCAGCTTTTACTGGTTGAGATGAAGGTCTCAGTAAACTTCTTTGCGCTGTCCACCACTGAGCTATCATCCTCCTGATCTCCACCTCTCAATTAGCTAGAATTGCAGCCTGAGCCACCACAGCTACGTAGCTGATTTGTTTTTTTTTTTTAATGTGGTTTCAAAAATACAAGATATTTAACTTGGAATTTACCATCGTAACCATTTTTAACTACACAGCTCATGGTACATCCTGAGATTTGTTCTGTTGTTATGTAGCAGATCTCAGGAACTTTTATCTTAATGTTTGTGAAGCTGAGACTTCGTGTCTACTAGACAAATTTATTTCTCCTGGTCTTCCATTACCGCTTCCTGTTGCTGTGACACTGACTGCTTTAAATAGCTTAGAGTATGGAACATTCCAGTATCCACTTCCAGGATACGCCTGCATGACCTAACTTCCTCTGAGGAGGTTACTCCTTCTTAAAGTTCCGCTGCCTTCCAATCACGATGACCGACTGGGAATGTAGCCTTCACCACAGGGGTGTGTGGGTAACACTTGTAACCACAGCACATGCACAGACCATGCCTTGCTTGTCCTTTCCTTCAGTTAGGAGCATGGTTTGTTTCTACCTCTTGGCTATAGTGAATAATGCTGTTATAAACATGGGTGTACACGTTTCACTTCAGATACTGCTTCTCAGACTTTGGGATGTATACTCAGAAGAGGAGTGTTATTCAGCCTCTCCTATGCATTCACCATTGGTGTCATTTTAATTTCCTCATATTATCTCTTTACTCACATCAAACCATCAATTCCACCGGTATCCCTCCTTCCCTTCTCATCGCCAGAGGGTAATTGTGTGAGCTTCTCCTCCCTCTACTTCCTGCCTAGCTACACCCACTCACTCAAACTTATCTCCAGCCTCTGCTAACACAGACCACATCATTTTATTCTCATCCCTTTCTGTTTCTTCTACAACATTGTTCCATTAACTATACCCTCTCCAAGCTCAGATGGCTCCTTTCCACCTCCAAGCCTCACCAAGCCCAGACACATTCTGCAAATCACCGCCATCCATCTCATACCAACGCAGGCCAAAATCATAGGACACTGTCACATGACAGAAAGGCCACACAAGTCACTTGCTCTGCCAAAACAGGAATTAAAGACACCCAGTGCATCCTCAGGAATAGATCTTCCCTCCCACACTGCTTTTCCTTGACTTCTCTCTGTGGCAGATACTCCCTAACCACTGGCAACCTACCTATTGTTGATAACATCCAATCCACATGCCATTAATTTCACATTCCAGTACAAAGAGCTTCTCTCATCATCAACTTCAATAGTTCTATTCAATAACTCTACTTGATAGCTCTGATTTGTCCAAATAGGGATACATGCCGCCAAATAAACCAATTAGTGGGGTCAGGGTAATCAAATCAGCAGAAGGCAAAAGCTGAATAGTTTGTTCCGCTGTGGAGGTTTAGGTAGAATTGCTTTATCTCAATGGTTCTCATGTGGGGTGATTTTGCCCCCAAGTGGTATTACTGGGTAGTGTTTAGAGTCAGTTTTGGTGGCTACAATGGGAGGGAAAGGATCCTACTGGCATCTAATGGGTAAAGGCCAGAGACATACTAAATACCTTACATACAGAATACTCTCCACAACAGAGCATTATCTGCTACAAAACATCAGAAGGAGGTCCCACAGTCTACCAGAAGCATGCGGAACTGGAAGAAAGCATGGATTCCCAGTCGAAAAGCTGGGGAAGGGGATTCCAAAAGAAAGGACTCATTTAAAGTAACTAATAGGCCTGGGAAGGTGGCTCAGTGGTAGAGCGCTTGCCTTGCATGCATAAGGCCCTGGGTTCGATTCCTCAGCACCACATAAGCAGAAAAAGCTGGAAGTAGTGCAGTGGCTCAAGTGGTAGAGTGCTAGCCTTGAGCTGAAGAGCTGAGGGATAGCGCCCAGGCCCAGAATTCAGGCTCCATGACCAACAAAAGTAAATAAATAACCATTAGCTATATCCTCAATCTGAAAGTAAGTACTCCTGAAACTATCCATGTTTCTCTTCTAATATTTCTCTTTCCTTTCTCTTCTTCGCTTTTCACCACCATGTTTTCTGAACGACTTGTTGACGTTAACTGTTTCAACCAGTCATTTCAGTCATTCATTCAATAAATAATTCCAGGTCATGGGATATGACAGTGATAAACTGATGTGGTCTCATGAAACCCTTATTGGTAAGGGAGAACCAAATAATAAATTGTCAGATGGTAATAAGGGGGAAAAAACACTTTAAAAATTACAAAGCAGGGAACTAGGAAAGTATATGCTCAGAATGAACGTTCTAAGAAAGACTCCGTTAAGGTGGTCCCATCTGAGAAAAAGAACTCAAGAGAACAGAAGATAGATTCCTAGGAAAAGAACATTCTGAGCAAAAGGAACATTGAATGGGAACATAATGAAGAGGCGACACTCTTGCTGTGGTTTGGGAATGACTCATTACCCCACAGGTGGGAAAACCTAGTAGAAATGAGTTGGGGGGCGGGGGAAGGGAGGCAGGCAGAGAGAAGAAAAGTGGAGTGGGTATAGAAAGAGAAAATCCTTGAGTGTTACCCTTGAGCAAGTATAATAACTGAGTTTACACAGCTTATCCTCACATAAAGGAGTGAACATTACTGAACATACTGATAAAGAAAGTCAGCCATTATCAGAACTAAATCTACTACTGCCAGAACCAGCTTACAAGTAATTTTCCAGGAACTTTCCCATTGGGCTACACCCAAAGTCAAAACATTGGTGCTCTACCCAATAATAGATTGTACTCCTCACCACTAGGGTTCAGTTTGGAAACTCCTCTAGGCCCCAGTTCTCCCAGTGTGGCTTGCTTCTTCCCAGAATATTTTCTGTAACAATAGTAGCAGGAAATTAGACTTTTGAAGCCAAATGTAAGTGTTGGGGCGGAGTGATGTTAGAACATGTTGAAGTTCTCTTTGACAGGGTTCTATTTCCTCAGTGATGAAGGAAGCAAAGCTATAAATAGAGATGATGGATGATGAAGGATGTGTTAGTGTTCAATAGCAAGATTAAAAATACCTGAAACTGCCATTTAGAATGGAAGACCAATGGATTATATAATGGTGGAAATCCTTGGTGGAATTACAATGGGCCACTTGAAGTGAGTTGTGACTAAAGTAAGGCCAGCCATTGCTCTCTGTACCAAGAGATACAGAGCTTGTGAGTGTCAGGGTAGTAGGGGTATAGGATTGGTAGCTAGAGAAGTGAGATGGTTGTAGTTTGGACGATGCAGTTTCAGTGACAAGAGCATGGACAAGGGTATTCATGACGGAGCACAGGCCAGAGTCCAGGCGCTCCAAAAGCCAACTATTTGGAAAATACCAAATTGAAGTCACTGAGGATCAGGATGGAAGTAAAATGAGAGTAAGGAACTTAGTCCTTCGAAGATTGGGAGGAGAAAGCAGAGGGACAAGATGACTGCCATACCAAGTGTGCAAAACCGCCTGTTCTGATAGAGTGGGTTATAAAGCTATCAGAAGCAAACATAATCCTATTCCCTGAACATACCTTATTGTAATCTGGCTCAGTCCATTACTTTTGAGAACTTGGAAAGATAACAGCAGATGTGTGTGTGTGTGTGTGTGTGTGTGTGTGTGTGAGAGAGAGAGAATGTAAGAGAGAGAGAAAGAGTGTGTGTGTGTGTGTGTGTGTGTGTGTTTCTAGGTCCCTGAGCTTCTCTGTGCTCAAGGCTAGTACTCTACCACTTGAGCCACAACACCACTTCTGACTTTTTCTGAGTAGTTTATTGGAGATAGGAGTTTCGTGGACTTTTCTACCCATGCTGGCTTTGAACCCCAATCCTCAGATCTCAGCCTCCTGAGTAGCTAGGATTACAGGCGTGAGCCACCAGCATCCAGCTGCAGATCTTTGAATAAATGGTAAAAGGAAGTGTCATAAGTCTATGACCAATGCTGGTGTTTCTTATGGTAGAGTCTTAAGACAGAGCCCAATGGAAACTAGGGAGAAATAAGGTGCATTGGAACCCTACCCTCTGCCTAATAAATCTCACACCTCCTGACCTTCACTAAAGCCCCTCTATCCACTCCCAAGTCCTTCTGTCTCATGGTTAGAAATAGCTCTGGATGTTGGGGTGCTGCATCAGAATAAGGACACCAACTTGAAAAGAACTTGGCAAGGCAAAGTTTACTTCTGCAGAAGAACACAACATCAGCAAAAAATCTGGCAAGCAAGCACCCAGGGCAGTCAGGCTGCTCCCTTTTAATCCCTCACCCTGAAGGCCCTGGCCCTCAGCTCAGATTGGTTGAGCTCAGGTTCACAATCTGCAAAAAGAGGTGGCTTAATTAACCGGATATAATTAAAGGACCTTCTAACAGGATATCTTAATTAAAGTGCTCAGGAACAGAGTTACGTAACTAAAAAGTAAGCAAGGGTGATGCAACCTGGCCAAATCAGGAAAGCTTCAAAAGAGCCATTCTCTCAAGATTAAAAGGAATTAGAATCTGAGCCTCCTCCTTTCTCCTCAAAAAAAAAAAAAAAAGATTAAAAGGAAGCAAATTACTTGGTGCTATTCCTGGGCTCCTTTTTGCTCAAGGCTAAAGCTATTCCACTTTAGCCACAGCACCACTTCCTGCTTTTGCTGTGATTAATTGGAGATAAGAATCTCTCAGACTTTCCTTCCCAGGCTGGCTTCAAACTGCAATTCTCAGATCTCAGCCTTCTGTGTAGTTAGGATTACAGGCATGAGCCACAGATGCCAGACCAAAATAAATAGATAGATAGACAGTAGACAGACAGACAGACAGACAAATACAATAGATAGACAATTACAATGTGTAATATGTATGCATTTTTTTAAAGAAAAGAAATTGGGCCAGTCCTGGGACTTGGGCTCAAGGCTAGTGCTCTCCCACTTGAGCCACAGCTGCAATTCTGGTTTTTGTTGTTAACTGGAAATAAAGAGTTTCAAGGCCCGTCCCGCCTGGCTTGGTTTTGAACCACACTCCTCAGATCCCAGCCTCAGGAGTAGTTAGGATTACAGGTGTTAAGACATCAGCACTGGATTACAGAAATTGAAGTGTGCTAGTTCTCTAGCTCTGTAGAGCACCCCTCCCCCCCCATTAGTGTTCTTTGATTGAAAGCCACACAAATTGATTCTTCAGAATTGTGAAGGTCAGCAGTGAAAATGAGTTAATGAGTTTTCTAGGACTAAAGTGTCCCAGTATGGTGTTGGTAAGACAAATTGTTTCCGAAAGCTCCAGGAGAAAACGTTTCTTGCAGTCTCTTCCAGCTTCTAGAAGCAGCAAGCATTCCCTGGCTCCTAATGCAGCTCTGGCCTTGGCTTTCTTGGTGGCCTCCTTCCCTCCCTCCCTTCCTTCCCCTCCCTGTGATTACATCAGACACAACTGCGTAACTCTGGACGATGTCCTCAACTCAACATCCTTGATTTGATCACTTCGGCAAAGCCCTTTTACCTGGTAGTGTGACACAGATTGAGATGTAGTGACCTTAGGGGGGTGGTAATGACTTTATTCAGCCTAGCCCAGGTCTCACCCTTGAATCCTTAATCCACTGCCTAATATAATTTTGTTTTTGACTCCCTGCCCCCATCCCTGGTTGCCAGAGTTTGAACTCCAGGCCTCACTCTCCAGTTTAGCTCTTCTGTTCAAGGATGGTGCTCAACCTCTTGAGTCACACCTTAGCTTTTGTCTTTTTGCTAGCGAATGGGAGATGATTTGCCCGGGGCGGAGGGGGGGGGGAATGGGATGCTGGCTTCCTACAACACACCTCAGACTTCAGCCTCCCAAGTAGTGAAGATTACAGATGTGATTCACCAGCACCTGACCCTCTTTCTCATTTGTGTGTGTGTGTGTGTGTGAGAGAGAGAGAGAGAGAGAGACATATTTTTCCATTGTATGAAGTAGTGCCAGTATGGATATATGATCCCCCTTTTTTATTCTCTTGCTGCCAATTTTAAGCAAAGGACGAAGCCAAAGCTCCCGCTGTAGGATCCAGTCCGGTGCGCTCGCTGTCTCTAGCATATCCTGCACTTAACTACCCATCACCGACCCGGGCCACCCCAAGTCGGGGGGCCGAGGCCAACGCCTCCCACTGCCTCGGAGAGGCGTCGAACGCCAGCCCTGACCCCGGCCCCGCACCCGGCGGTGAGGCCGAGGGACGCTGCGCGCGGAGCCCGACCTCCCCGCGGGGAGGCCGCCCGCCCGTGCGCACGCCCCGGACGTCACACGTGGCCTGCGATCCTCCCCGCGGCCGCGGGCGGCGCCTGGGCCCCGCCGCCCTCGCGGCGTTCTGGGAAGGGGTGGATACGGATGTGGCAGCGCCCCGCCCGCGAGGACAACCTTTGTCCCCGGGCTCGGGGGGAGCCCGCGCGCCGCCGCAGCGAGGCCGGCCGGAGTCTCGCTCGGCACCCGGGTCTCCCCCCTGGTGCGGGAAGCGCAGCCCGGAAGCGGCCGCGATCCGAAGCTTTCGGTCCCGGAGCCGGAGCGCTCGCCGGAGCCCGGGCTCCGAGCGCAGCCCCGGGACTCAGAGCCCAGCCCCGGGGGTCGCCGAGCCCGGGCCTCCGGCGCGCGCCCCTCCGCCCCTGCCGCTCGCTTTGCGGACACCTTGGTTTCTAGCTCGGCTCGGGGATGCTGGGGGCCTCTTCTCCGAGGACCCTGGAGCCGGGGGGGACCCCGGCGCCCCCGCTCTCCCTCTGCTGCGGAGGAGCCTTGCTGGCGATCCTGATGCTGCTCGCGCTGCCCACGGCCTGGGGTGAGACGCGGGACCGGCGTGGGGAGGGGGCGCGGCTGGGGCGGGAGGGTCTCCGAAGGCACCGCCTCGGTGGGCTCTGGCCGCGAGGGTCCGGGGTCCCCCGGTGTGCTTTGCCTCGGGGGACGAGTGCAGCTCCCCCCAACCCCAGGTCCCCACCCCTCCCACCCAGGTCCCCACCCCTGCGCCACCGACTGCACCAGCCTGTCTGTGTGCGTCACTGGATCCGGTGAAGGTTTGTGAAGTTTCCCTTTAAAAATGGGGACTCCATGCCAGGTCCTCGACTTTGATCACCGAATAAGAATTTCAGGATTAGTCACAATAATAAGAAAACTTGGCGGCTCTTTGTTGAGTAAGCAAGCCAGTAAGCCCACCCGCAGACCCGCAGACACACCCTCTAACCGGGTGTGGTGCTGTCAAAGGAAAAGACACCCTGGGCTCTTTGATATCAGGCGAATTCATGTGATAGAGGCCGGGCCTGGCTTCTAGTTGTGCAGGTTGGTGGTGTTACACTTTTTACCACTTGGGCTCAAGGGCTCTGAGACTGGGCAGAACTTTTCATGTATGACCATTATGTTTGGGCACCGCTTTTAGGAGGGAATGCATTCTGCCCTACAGTCAATATTATTTTTCTATTATAAAGGTGATGTACAGAGGGGTTGCAGTTGCACAAATCAGGTAATGAGTACATTTATTTTGTTTTAGACAATGTCACCCCATTCATTTTTCTCCGGGTTTTTCTCCCCCTCCCCCCCCCATGTTGTATAGTTTATTTCCAACAATACAGTCTGCCATATATTTTAAAACTGGTGTTTATCCCTGAGATGAAATGCATCCTGCCACAAATGTTTATCCTTTGAGGTAAGTGCTCTGTACCAGGAGGAGCCATTTTTTTCTAAGTATTTGCTTCTCTAGGATACATGTTCTTTTTTTTTTTTTAATGTCCTCTCTCAGTTTTTAGAGCACACCAATTGTTTGGGGCCATCAGGGAAGGTCGGATGGAGATAGCTTATATTAATACTGCAGCTTATGGAGGAGTGCAAGGGTTAAAACAAAGTAGGCGGCGCTTTGTTTTTAAATACTCTGTTTCTAAATTCACAGCTGCCATATCCTTCCTCATATTCACAGTGTGGATTGGCTAGGTAGTAGGGTGTGGCACTGGCCCAAGTAAAACTAAGGGTTTTACAGCTCCCAGAAACCTGGATTCTAACCTAGCCCTTTCACCTAGAGGGAAGCGACGGTGCCCGTCTGATTCCTCCTCTCTACAGTGCTTTATGATCTGTCCATCCTGGCTGCGTTGCTACAGTGTTTTGGATACATACAAGGAGCCAACCAACACACTTGTCACTTAATGCTCTTCTGTCCCTTTCTCCAACCATCATCTCTGGCCTGGGTTCCCAAGGGTGTTTAGACAAATAATCGTAGGGGTACATCTGAAAACTGCCCTGCATTTGAGGGTGCATTGAATACCTTTGCTGTCCATCTCTAATCACCATCTACCTTAATAGCATTTAATTGAGCCCCTACTTTAAGGGAGATGCTCTCCTGACAGATACTTGGGGTTTAGAAAAACAAGAGAGCTCCCACCACAGTGGAACTGATGTCTGAGAAGGGAAGTGGAAGGGTGTATAGTTTGCATTTTGGTAGTGTGGTTGGCACACAATAAAGCCTACCGTTACCTACTAGGGAGATTTTGAGGCCACATCTGCCCTTCCTTCCTCCTGGCTTCAAGTAGCTAAACATTTTCAGTAAAATCCTTCTCGCACCCTATCCATTCCTCCGTTTTCTTGGTTGCTTACACTCACTGGCAACATGTGGGTTGAAGTGAGTTTTGCATTGTTCAACCTCTTCCTGACAGCTCCAGGGTGCTCTAGAAACACTTACATTCATTGATCGTTTCTTCTCTTTTGAGAGAGCAAGGATAATAGAAAACCAAATTTCCATCACAGTTGCTATGAATCTTTTGTCTCTAGGTATCAGAAAGTAGCCTGTCAGGCAAAGAGGTAGGATCAAAACTTGAGTACACCAAGTTAAGGAATGTGTTGTCAATGCTTACAGACTAAGGTGGTCCTTGTATCACTATCTGCCCACTTCTTACTGGAATGTAGCTGTAGTTTGCCTGTGTTTATTAAGTTACTATTACTCTATTAATTGCGAGCAACAACAAACATTTGTTGAGGCTATCACAGTAACCTCCAAATGCAACACAGATTAAAACCTTACAGTCAGTCATTTGGCTGTCAAAGTGACTTAAATGAAGCGAAGGTAGATGGAAAGAATGCCTTCCCCTGAGCATAGCCAATTTGGAATTTAACAGAGAGCTAGCTAATTGCCTCCAAGCTCTGTGCCTATGGAAATTGGTTTGGGGTTTCCAGCCTCTCCTACTCACTGCAGGAGAGCTTTGGACTCCAGGCAAGTCAGTTAGCAACTCGATCATCAGTTGTCCATATGTACAAAATGGACGTCATTGACATCTTGAACTTTGAGAGGCCGGTTGTGAAAACCAGGTGAGGTAGTACCAGGACAGTGTTTTGTAACTACACAACTCTTGCAGACCTGAGAAAGTCACTCAAGAGAGACTAAGTGCTGCAGGATGACTTAATAAGGGAGCAATGTGAACTCTTATAAATATGTTCTCCAAGGACCGCTGGCGTCACAGCTGAAGACACCAAAACAGAATTGTCTCAGCAAGGCAGAACTTCTGTGCGGAAGGGTTGTACCATTGGCAAACAGCCTCACTAAGCTGGCAGACTACTGCCATTTGATCCCTAAAACACCAGGCTCTGCCTCTCTGCTTGATTGGCTGAGCTTAGGTCCACAATATGCTTGTGATTGGCTAGCTTGAAGAGGGTAGGATGCATTTGCATAAAGTGACCATTATAAGACATTGAGATAAAATTAACCGTACACAAGCAGTCTTGAAATGTACCCAACACCCTCTGCTTAAAGCAATCTGAAGTGTGCCTCCCTCACATCCAATACAATATCTAAGGTGGCTTATTTCCACTTTGGAACAAGCTTCCAAAACAAACCTTATGTTTCAAAAATCCTTTCTTATCCCAAAAGATTTCCTCTTTCCTTTTTTTGTTGTTGGTTGTGAGGCTTGAACTCTGGGCCTGAGCACTGTCCCTCAGCTCTTCAGCTCCAGACTAGCGCTCTACCACTTCCGGTTTTCTGGTGGTTGATTGGAGATAAGAGTTTTACAGACGGGGCTGGAAAGATGGCTCAGTGGTAGAGCGCTTGCCTTGCATGCATGAGGCCCTGGGTTCAATTCCTTAGCACCACATAGCAAAAAGAAAAAAAGCCAGAAGTGCCACTGTGGCTCAAGTGGTAGAGCACTAGCCTTGAGCTGAAGAGCTGAGGGACAGCGCCCAGGCCCAGAGCTCAAGCCCCATGACTGGACCCCCCACCCCCCCCAGAAAAAAAACAGTTTTACAGACTTTCCTGCATGGGCTGGCTTTGAACTTCGATCCTCAGATCGCAGCCACCGGAGTAGCTAGGATTACAGGCGTTTGCCACCAGCGCCAGGCTTCCTCTTTCCTTTCTTTACTTGCTGATATTATCTTAGCAGAATAAGCAGTAAGAGCCAAGCCACTGAGCCGAAGCAGGAACTTTTAAGCAACCCACTTTTGAGAAAAGACTAAATGAAAGGAGCATGGCTTAAACATTAGTGCTTACAGAGTGAATCAAAACTCAGGTTGTATAATATGCTTCTCAGGGGTATTTATTTTGTATAAAATATCAGAGGAGGGGCTGGGAAGGTGGCTCAGTGATAGAGTGCTTGCCTTGCATGCATGAGGCCCTGGGTTTGATTCCTCAGCACCACATAAGCAGAAAAAGCCAGAAGTGGGGCTGAGGCTCAAGTGGTAGAGCGCTAGTCTACAGCTGAAGAGCTCAAGGACAGCGCCCAGACCAAGTTCAGGCCCCAAAATGGCAGAGGATTGGGATTATTTTGTTAATATAAGGCATTCACTATGTTAAATTCAGACCAAATAGAGTTCAGAGGAAGGAAAGTTAAAGAGATGCATTCCAGACTGATAAAGGAGACAGCCCTCCCTCAATGAATGTATGCAATCCTTGATATGTATGTGCTTAATGACAGAGGATCAAGATATGTGAAGCCATACCTTAATAGAACTGTGGGCAGAAATAAATAGATCCACTATGATGACTGATGACATTAACACTCCTCTAGCAGAGACTCAATAAGGAGCTAGTTGAGCTTAGCAGTCCATCAGTATAGGGAGTATAGATGGCCAGTATAAACTGCTTCACCCATCAACAGCAGAATGTCTGTTCTTCTCATGTTCCTGTAGATAATTTACCGGGATAAACCACATTTAGACTCACAAAAAATGGCATAATGTTTAAGTGTTTGACAACATTAAACAATGTTTACTGGCAAGAAGTTTAACACAGACTCTGGCACCCTCTTCTGGTCCTCCTGTAACTCATAATGTGTTATTTCTGCTATGAAAACAAGCAGTGTAGAAAGGAGTTCCCATTTGTGCTTGGTGGGGCATTTCAATTTTCATATCTCCAAAGGGTAGGCTTATGTTTTAGGTTAGCCTAGTTTTATCTAAAAATGACCTTTATATTTTGGCAAAGAATTTCAAGAATGTCTTGCACAAAAAAAAATACCATTCCAGTTTTTGTACCTCCAATTGGTAGATTTATGTTTTAGATTAACCTAGATTTATCTAAAAATGGCCTTCATATTTGGGCAAGGAATTTCAAAAATGTCCTGCACAAAAATACCAAACAAAGATAATTCTAAGACCAACAAACAAAATGGAAGAGCCAATCCTCCTTCCACCCCTCCCCAGAAGACAGGCCAACACAGGCTTGATGTGAGAGGCACTGAGAGAGGGAAACTCTTGTTGAGTTTACAACAAATGATAAAAATTGACTCCTCTCCTTCCCCTCCCCAAAAAAATAATCTAGAAAGCATCAAGAAGACCAGTTGAACTACAGCTGCATATACACTATTATCAATGGAAACTGGAACTGTATTTTGTCCACTTTTGGGTTTTATTTCATGGTCACATTAAGTCATGATGACTAGCAAAGCATTTGAAATGCTTATACCAGCTGTGTGATATTGCCTTTAATTTTGTCTATAATTTTTAATAATCTGAAATTTTATTGTTTGGGGGAAATGTATGCTATCTTTAAACTGATCAAATTGCCTAAGCAAAACCATTGCAAACCCCTTAGCCCAAAAGAGAATGTGCAGAATGGGAGCAGAGTTAATAGCCCAGATTGATAGCTCCCATTGGAGCAAAGGCATGTGCGTCTCTGGTTTATTGAGCCCATTGTGCTGATGGCAGGATGGGCCAATCTGCCTTGAAAGAAGGTTTGCGTCAAGAGTATTTGAAAGTGGGCTGTGTCATCCAAGACCAAAACTATAATGAGGTGGCAATGTACATCCATGGCAGTGGCTAAAATTAAGATTAACCATGCCACTTGTTGCCAATATTAACTGGAATGTATTAACTGGAATGATCACACATAAAGCAAAGTAAATCCTGAAAACAGCTGGACAGTTTCTTAAAAGATTAGGCTCATACCCATACATCTAACATATAACTGTACATTTTGTTCCTAGGTTTTTATACCAAAGAAATGAAAGCTTATATATCCACATTAATTTTCATAGTCAACTTTTGATATTGTTAATTTTCCTAAAAGCGGAAACAATCCAGAATGTGTGTCAAACAGAAGAATGGGTAAATTGAAGTATCTTTAATATGACTGTATATTTCTCAACCACAAAAACAACCATGTTTATATATGTAACAACTTGAATGAATCTCAAAATAATAATACTGTGTGGTAGCTAAATCAAAAAGAGCAAAAACTGAGCGGTGGTCCTAGAAAGGCAAATCAGGATGGAAGTTGTCTTTATTCCCAAATCAGAGAAGGAAATGGGAGGATGGATGGATAGCCGAGGGAGAACTCTCTGTGGTAGGGAGTGTGAGGGAAGTGTTTTGATTTCATGTTGGATACATATGTCATCAACTTGTAGTGCATAAGTACTCATCAACGATTGCATGTTGTATACCGTATATCTTGAGTTTATGGAGTTCATGTTATTATATTTGTCATAGGAGCAGTCATCATTTGAAGGACTGGTAACACAAGAGGAAAAAGAAACTAGATCAAGCTTTCTCTAGTGAAAGCTCATGAGCACCTTTTCCTGCGCTGTTACCACATTTTTATTATTATGTATGGTACTCATACTAGAGCTCAAGTTAAGAAGATTAGGTAAATAAAGGACAGAAATGTCATTACAGGGCTGGGAAGGTGGCTCAGTGGTAGAGCGCTTGCCTTGCATGCTCGAGGCCCTGGGTTCGATTCCTCAGCACCACATAAGCAAAAAGAAAAAAGCTGGAAGTGGCGCTGTGGCTCAAGTGGTAGAGCACTAGCCTTGAGCTGAAGAGCTTAGGGACAGTGCTCAAGCCCAGAGTTCAGGCCCCATGACCGGACCCTAAAAAAAAAAAAAAAAAAAAGAAATGTCATTACAAAAGTAGTCCCTGCATGTGGCCATGTGGCCATGTGGCTTGCCCAGGGTAGGCCTCCTGAGATAGTTGGCCTCTCTCACCAGTTTTAGCACCAGAATCAGCACTTTGTTCAAGCTTCAGTAGATGAGACAAACCCCAGCATTGTATTATTCACCCCGCCCTGTCCATTAGAAAACAGTGAGGCATAGTATTTGAGAATGCAGGAACTAATTTTCACAGTGGTTTTTAAGTGTTATTATCTATCAAGTTACCTGTGAAGCTTTTTAAAGATAGAGATGGCCGGGTCCTAACTTAGACCCAGTGAATCAGAACTCTTGGGGGTATAGCCTGCCTACACTCTTTTTCTTTTTTTCTTTTTTCTTTTGTTGTTGGTGGTGGTAGTGGTGGTGGTGGGGCTTGTACTCTGGCTTGGGCGCTGTCCCTGTGCTCTTCAGCTCAAGGCGAGCGCTCTACCACTTGAGCCAAGCACCACTTCCAGTTCTCTAGCAGTTTATTGGAGATAAGAGTCTCACAGAGTTTCCTGCCCAGGCTGGCTTTGAACCATGAGCCTCAGATCTCAGCCTCCTGAGTAGCTAGGATTACAGGTGGGAGCCATCAGCACCTGGTTTGCCTACACTCTTGCTTTTTAAATTTTATGGGAAATTCATTAGTTATTTGTTTATTGTAATAAACACTCATTGAGTTTTTCTTGCTGGGGGCTAAGTACTTGGACCGTATTAATTTAAGGGAACAAAAGATATGTGGTCTCTCACCCTTACATAAACCATCTTCAGTATCTACTGAGGGAAATAGATATAAAAGCATATTATAATCATGACATATTATTTATATAATAGGAAAAGAAAAGGATGGGTCAGTGGAAAGTCTTGCAAGGTAGGGTAAGGAGAACTGGTTGAAGTTTTCGATTTCTAGAAGAGTGAAGGACAAGTGGAAAAGCCAGAGACAGGGAAAAGGATGTATGTGTATAAGAAACGAAGAGAAAACAAAAGGGCTACATCTCAGTGAGAAGACAGAATGGGACAAGATGGAAGAAGAATCGTAGCCCAGGGTGGCCTGCTAGACAGCAGTGGACTTAATGAAGAGATTCTTTTCAGAAGAAATGAATGTGAGGTTTCTTTGTAAAGAAGCAGAATTCTTTGCCTAAATAATGAGTGCAAAGATTATCCCCAGTTCTGTCTAATGCTTTGTCAATAGGACAAAAAGCAGCTTTAGAAATTCTCATAGGTAAGTGGTTCCATGAAGCCTATGATAGGCACCGTGGAGTGCAGACACCAGGACCTAGGCTGAGACACCTCAAAATAACAATAACGCTAAAATCAAAATCAGAGCATAATGAACAATACCAAAAAAAAAAGTGGGGGATAGGCTTCACCCTGCCCTTCATACTTCAGATCAATTAATCTTAAGAGAGGGGAGAAAAAGAAGATGTCCAAAACTAAGCTAAAATGATGATATTTCTTCCCAATTGCATGTTCTGACTCTAAATGACATTTTTTAATTTAAGTCTGCTAGGTCCTAGTGGAAGGTAGCTAAGTCAGTTATTTAATTCAAAACAGGTATCAGGAAAAACGAATAAATGCTTTCAGAAAGAGAAGTACAAACTTTAGTAGTTGAGTTTTGTCTCTTTTCTCCTTGATAACAGACTCTCAAAGAGTGACGGCCATTCCTGAAGGCCAAAGAGAGGTTCATGGTCCACTCAACCTTGGTGAATCACCAAGAGACAACATGGCTGAGTACATTTTGTTGCTCCAGAGAGGGAGAAGTGCTAAGTGGACTCGAGTGGAATAATCCCAGACACAGGCACTTCTGCTGAGCTAAATTTTGAAACTTGGAACTGGAGGTTTCCTATTTTTGTTTTTTGTGTGTGTGTGTTTTTTTGTGCTGGTCCTGAGACTTAAACTCAGCTCTGGGCACTGTCCCTGAGCTTTTTTTGCTCAAGGCTAGCACTCTACCACTTGAGCCACAGCTCCACTTCAGCCTTTTTTGGTGGTTTGGTTGGAGATAAATGTCTCATGGACTTTCCTAATGGGTCTGGCTTTGAACTGCAATTCTCAGATCTCTCAGCTTCTTGAGTAGCTAGGATTATAGGCATGAGCCATCGGTGCCCGGTGCTGAAATTACCCGCCCCCCCCCACACACACTTTTTTCTTTTGGTTGACTGTGGGGCTTGAACTCAGGACCTGGGTGCTGGCCTTGAGCCTCTCTGTGCTCAAGGCTAGAGTTGTACAACTTGAGCCACAGGGCCACTTCTGGTTTTTGAGTGGTTAATTAGAGAAAAGAGACTCACAGGGACTTTTCTGCCCTGGATGGCTTTAAATCGCAATCCTCAGACCTCATCTTGGCCTCCTGAGTAGCTAGGATTACAGGTGTGAGCCATCAGTGCCCAGATTGGACTTCCTTTTTAATAAAAGACTATATACTACTGCTTAAGTCAAAGGAGCTGAAACTTCTTAATGGGGAGATAGTAACCAAAATATTTTAGAAGTTCATTTTTTAAGATCTTGACTAAAGGAATAAAAATCATTTGCTATTGTAAACATAGATTTTTCTCTTTTTCGATCACACAGTATAGAGGAAATAAATAGAAAGAAAAGTAACTAACTTTCTGTTAATGTTGCTATCACTGTGGTCTTGATCTCCAGGACAGTGCAAGGCTCCAGAACAATTCTCCTCTGCCAGGCCTACAACTCCAATTGATGAATCTGAGTTTCCCATCGGAACATCTTTGAAGTATGAATGTCGCCCTGGGTTCATACGGAGACAGTTCTTGATCACCTGCCTCCCAAACTCCGAGTGGACAGATGTTTCAGATAAGTGTATACGTGAGTAACTCTAATCTGGGAAATCTTTTGTATCTGTCCAAACACTTTGTTCAGGAGTTAGAAGTTAAGACACACAGGAGCAAATAACTTACAGTATATGTGACATGTCTTACAGATCTTATCTTTTTACGATGAGTTCCTGGCACCTCTGATATGAGTTTACTTTGTAAGAAAAACCATTGCATTGCACAATTGAGGGGTTTTCCATTTTTACAACTATGTAATGAATGAATGAGAAGGAAAGTATAATACATTAAATAACTAAAAAATAAGAAAATGCCAGAATGTGTTTGAGACCTGTGAATTAGAATACCTGGATAAGACTCTGATAATAAATGAACTGTGTATGTTTCTGGGAGTCATAGTGTGAGAGATGAGAAAGAAATGAGGGCTAGTCTTTTGGAAAGGAAGGCCTTTCCTAGTGGCTGATTCTAAAGTGGTCTGATTAGCTTCCTCAGAGTTACAATATCTGTGATATTATCACAATCACACATGCTCTACAGTAAGTTATACTTGGGTTAAGACTTCTTGTACTAATAAAAAAAAAGTTTCAGATGACTTTACCTGGCTTCAAAATTCTGTTTCTTTCCCATAGGTAAAGCATGTAACACTCCTCCAGATCCTCTGAATGGCAGGGTACATGTACAAACAGATACGCAGTTTGGATCTACAATCACTTACACCTGTAACCAGGGGTGAGTTAGACTCAATAGCTCTTAGTTCAAAGGTGCTAGAATAGCAGTACTACCTTCCAGTCACATCTAGAATCCAGTATCTCTAGTGAATAGAGAAATGCAAATTAAACCCACCTTATACTAATGAAGATTGTACTATTCTAAAAGGTAGACTATAATAAGGGTTAATGAGCCTGTAAAGAAATTAAAGTCCTCCTACACCGAATGGCTTGCAGATTATGAATGAGGCACTGGCCCCGCCTGTCTGAAGACTGCAGCAGCAAGCCCACCCTCCTGTTCTGCCAGACTGTCCACTCAGAAACTTTCCTTAGACAATAACGTCCAGAGTTCATAACCACGACATCTGCTTTAGAGGAAATGTTGAAAGGAGTTCTTCAAATTGTTATAAATAGGCCTGGTGAAGGAAAGTATAAGGCAAAGTTAAATTTTCATGTCTAGTCCAAGTGAAGATGTAACCAGCTTTAATGTAGCTCATTCATTATAAGTCCCTTTAGGTACACTTATGATAAACCACAAAGACAAAACCTCAATCAACCTCCCTCCCCCAAAAAGAACAAACTAAGCCCTAAGTCAGCAGAAAGAAAGAACTAATAACTAGCAGACAGAAATAAATGAAATGGAGACTGTGACTATAAAAATATAGAAGAACAATAAAACTAAATATTGGTGTTTTTAAAAGATGAAAACAAAAACCAGGGCTGGGAAGGTTGCTCAGTGGTAGAGCGCTTGCCTTGCATGCCTGGGTTCGATTCCTCAGCACCACATAAGCAAAAAGAAAAAACGCCAGAAGTGGTGCTGTGGCTCAAGTGGTAGAGCGCTAGCCTTGAGCTGAAGAGCTGAGGGACAGCGCCCAGGCCCAGAGTTCAGACCCCACGACTGGACCCAAAAAAAAAAAAAAAACCATTAGCAATACTAAGAAAAGAAGAATGCTCATAAACAAGGGAATATTAAAACAAATAGCAATATAAACACCTGTGCACTTAGCTTCTAATGTCCCTTCCTCTCTGCTTCTAGATTCCGGCTCCTGGGACCTTCCTCTGCCCTGTGCATCCTCTCAGGAAACACTGTGGTTTGGGATAATGAAGCGCCTGATTGTGAGAGTGAGTTTGAATTTCCCTTTCTACCATTTTTACTAATGAATTGATTTCCCTCTGGAATGATATATTCTTTCCAGTGCTGGGAATCTCTATGTCTATGAGTTTGTCCTTTCTCTTGTAAGTTCTAATAGTTTTAATGTATTCATTTTAAGACTGCCTTACGACATGCATGCACATGTGGGTTTGTTTGTATCTTTCTGCTGGATGTTTTTTTTTATTATAAGGAAACATATCTCTGGTCATATTTTTTCCTTAAAGGGTACTTTGTATGTAATTACTATAACTATATCATTACTGTCCAATTACTATAATTCTACTATAACTATACCAGCGTTTTTGTTCTTCATTTTTGCATCACATATGTTTCAACTCTTTTACTTCCAGACATTCTTTGTTCGGTAAGTATCATCTAGTCAGGCTTCATTTTTCCTATCTAAATTGAAGTTTTCCATTGGAGTGTTTAGAACATTTAAATTTGATAAGGTTACTAATGTAGTTAAGTATAAGTCTAACATCTGATTATTTCATGTTTATTTCTTTGTGCCAGTACCTGGGTTTGAACTCAGAGCCTCTTGCTCTTACTTGGCTTGCTTACTCTTGGCTAGTGCTCTAATAATTGAGCCACAACTCCAGTGTGGCTTTTTGCTGCTTAATTGGAGGTGATGGCTTAGAAACTTTTCTTCCTGAGCTAGCTTAAAACCTTGATCCTCCAGATCTCAGCCGGCTGCTGAGTAGCCACCGGTACCCAGTTTTACTTCTCACACTTTTTTTTTTGTTTTGTTTTGTTTTTCCGGTCATGGGGCTTGAACTCTGGGTGCTGTCTCGAGCTCTTCAGCTCAAAGTGAGCACTCTACCACTTCTGGCTTTTTCTGCTTAGGTGGTGCTGAGGAACCCAGGGCCTCATGCATGCAAGGCAAGCGCTCTACCACTGAGCCACCTTCCCAGTCCCATTTCTTACACTTTTTAATTAATCAAGTATTTTTTATTATTCCACATTTTTTCCTCAACACCTATTAAACTATGTCTTTTTTTTTTTTTAATATTCTTACTCTCAAAGAGTGACCCAAAGGTGGCGGCCTACATCCTTGATTTTCTAGACTGGAATTTAACTTCTGCTTTTACCACATCTCCAACAGCACAGGAAGAACCCAGATAGCAGGCTAGCTCCCTTTTTACCTTCCTGGCCTTTTCTTAGTGCTGTCATTCTCCTATTCCACAAGATATTGCTATTATTCAAAAGTAGCACTTAGCTGGGTGCTAGTGTTCCACACTTCCATCCCTCCTACGCCCTCCACAAGGCACAAAAGAACCTAGAATAAGGTCACTAGTGACTCATGCCTATAATCCTTACTACTTAGGAGGCTGGTATCTGAGGATTGCAGTTCCAAGCCAGCCTGGACAGGAATCACTAATTTACTTCCTGTAAGCTGAAAGTAGAGCTATGGTTCAAGTGGTACAGCCATTAGCCTTGAGCAAAAGAGCTCAGACAGTGCACAGGCCCTGCGTTCAAGACCAGAACCAGTGCGCGTACACACACACACAGCAATTATTTTACGTTTACCATAGGGTGTAGGGTAAAACCTTCTAATTATATTTTGTCTCTGCTTCCATTTGAATATCATAACCCTCCCCGCCTCCATCCACCCTGAGCCACACTGTTATTTTCCCTGGTTTCAGTTACCCAAGGTCAGCTACAATCCAAAAATGATTCAATGGAAAATTCCAGAAAGAAAAAAGCTTGTAAGTTTGTTTGTTTGTTTGTTTTGTGAGTACTGGGGCTCAAACACAGGGCCTTCTGCTCTCACAAGGTTATCATAATTATAACCCGAGTTACAATATTGTAAAACGTACCTATGCGTTAAGCCAAGATTAAAAGCAGACAGTGCATGTAAAAATCATTCATTTGGGGAGTCACCCAGTTTCTCTCCTGTATCATTTAAATTGCCCAGGAATTCTCTGTGAGCCTCCGCCAGCCATTCCCAATGGAGAGATCCTGAGCAGCAGTGAAGATTTTCAGTATGGCATGGTGGTGACCTATCGCTGCATGCCTGGACCGAGAGGGAAGAAGCAGTTTAACCTGGTGGGGGAGCCATCCATATACTGCACCAACGATCCAGATAATAATGGCATGTGGAGTGGCCCACCCCCTCAGTGCATCACAGTCAATACCTGCGCTCCTCCAAGTGTGAAAGACGCAGTCATGGTGTCTGGCAACAGGAGCTTATTTTCCTTACATGATACAGTACAGTTTCAATGTCAACTTGGCTTCGTCATGAAAGGACCCACCAGTGTGCAGTGTGGGGCCCTGGGCAAATGGGAGCCGGAATTACCAAGCTGCTCTAGGGGTGAGTCTGAGGCCTGCAGAGCCCTGTGGTGACATGAGTGGTTGGAGGACCAGAACATCAGCACTGATTCTAGAGGATGGCTGTGTGATAAGCACAGTTGGCTGTCAGTTGTCTTGGGAGGTAGAAATTGTGTGTGTGTGTTTGTATGTGTGTGTGAGCGCGCGCGCGTGTGTGTATGTGCGCACACACATGCACACACGGGTGCTCTACAAACATTTATATAAACACATGCATTCAAGTTAAGAAGCAAAACTGAATCTAAGAATGCATGTCTCCTTGTGGTTCTCATAGAAAGGAGTTCTCTACCTGTGACACTAGCTCCAGCCTCCATCACCTATCCATTACACATCTATCAATAATTGCTAAGGCCTGATGAATGATTCATCTAATCAGGTAGCCACCCTGGTTACAGGAAATTTGCACATTTCATTCTGAAAATAGATCCAGAAGGCAGTTACCCCTCTGTCCTTGTTTTACACAGACAATGTTTGAAAGGTTTGTTTTTCCAAGATAAAGCAGATACTAACGTATAGATCAAAAGGTAGAAGCCATGTCTACCTGTCTTTCTCTAGAGCCTATGCTCTGCCAAATTCTTCAATTAATGGAGGTATTTAATGCAAGGAATGGGTTATGAAGAGGTTGGAAAGGCAAGAAGAGCAGGAGGAAGGCAGTATCACCAGAGGGTCAGGGAGCAGCTATTACCCCAAGACTGGAACACAGAGCCAATGCTCAGTGCCCACACAGCAGTCCCTGCTAATGCTTGCAGGCCCTGCCTCTGCTGCCAGCTTGCAGCTGGTCTCGGGGGAACCCAAATTGCTCTGATTAAAGTTGCTGCTACTAGAGTGAAAACTCCGAAGGCTGCCACTGCAGCAGCTACCTCTAGAAAGAGAAGGCATTCTGTCACTTTCTTTTCACTTAGTATACATGGAGGTGAAGCAATTGTAGTCAGTGTGAGGCTACAAAACCCACCAACCTTAGTAATTTTACTCCATGTGAACAGAATTTGGAAGAATTCTACCAGGAACTAGGATTCCTTAAGCATAGATGTATTCTTAATCATGGATGTTACAGAATAAACAAAGAACTAAGGCATCTTCTGTTCTTCAATGGATCATTTTTCTTTTCTTTTTCTTTTTTTTTTGTCTGTCACCAGGCTTGAACTCTGGGCCTGGGTGCTGTCACTCAGTTTTTCCGCTCAAGACTAGTGCTCTACCGCTTAAGCCATAGCACCACTTCCAGTTTTCTAGTGGTTTATTGGAGATAAGAGTCTCTCGGAGTTTCCTGCCCAGGCTGGCTTTGAACTATGATCCTCAGATCTCAGCCTCGTAGGTAGCTAGGATTACACATGTGAGCCACCAGCGCCTGGCTAATGGATCATTTTTTAGTGGATCAGTTTCATGACTTTGTAGGTCCATTAATAGTTTTTTTTTCCAGTCCTAGGGGCTTGAACTCAGAGTCTGAGCACTATGTCTGAGCCTCAAGGCTAGCGCTCTTATCACTTGAGCCACAGCTCCACTTCCAACTTTTTCTAAGTAGTTTATTGGAGATAGGAGGGTCATGAAGTTTCCTGCCTGGACTGGCTTGGAACCATGATTCTCAGATCTTAGTCTCTTGAGTAGCTAGGATTATAGGCATGAGCCATTAATAGTTGTGGGTTTATATGTGTGTGTGTGTGTGTGTGTGTATGTATATGTATGTATATATATACACACAAACTGTAATACCCATAGTAATACCCATATTTTTAGCCAGTTCACCATTGAAGGGAAAAAACTGTTTTATGGAATGAACTGTGCTTTGGTTCTCTTTCTCTAGGATGCCAGCCTCCTCCAGGAATCCTGCATGGCCAGTATACCCCAAGTGTGGACATCTTTTCAGTAGGGCAGGAAGTATTCTACAGCTGTGAACCCGGCTATGACCTCAGCGGGGCTGCGTCTCTGCAGTGCACACCCCAGGGAGACTGGAGCCCCGAAACCCCAACGTGTGCAGGTGTCTAGACTCGCAACTGGCTTTCACATCACTCTGCCTCTCCCACGTCAGACTTAATTCCTCTTTTCGTTTTCCCCTCCTAGTGAAATTATGTGATGACTTCACCAGCCAACTCCTTCATGGTCATGTGGAACTTCCACCAAGTCTACAATTTGGGGCAAAAGTGACCTTCAGTTGTGATGAAGGGTGAGTTTGACTTGGAAGAAAGAGACCCAGATACTCCGTACTGGATAGTGACTGTGTCAAATTCAAGAGTACACATACAGATTGACTTAGTTGAAGGCCATCAACTTCTGATGGAAAGATAGTTTTTTATTTGTTTTGTTGTTGGTCATGGGGCTTGAATTCAGGGCCTGGGCACTGGCCCTGAGCTTTTTTTGTTCAAGGCTTGCACTTTACCCCTTTAGGCCACAGCTCCACTTCCAGTTTTCTGGTGGTTAATTGGAGGTAAGAGTCTCATGGACTTTTTCCTGCCTGGGCTGGCTTCGAACCACAATCCTCAGATCTCAGCCTCCTGAGTAGCTAAGATTACAGGAGTGAGTCACTGGTGCCTGGCATGGAAGGGTAAAATAAGGTAGGAACTTAGTGGTGCCAACAGCAGGAGAGAAAATGAAAGTACACGCAGAGACAGTAACTGATCGTGGTGTGTTAGCTGGCATTTGAAGTGTCTAGATAAGTGATTACTTGAAAGTTAAATGCATACTTTCATAAAAAACTTGGTAGGGGAAAAAAGTTGTAAGAATAAGAGAAAATTGTTCACCCAATAACGAGTTATCCAAGAGTTGCTTCAGGATACTTAAAACTAATTAGTAGTGGAATTTATATTAGTAAATGGATAAGGGTGCTTTGATCTAATCATTTTTCTTCATGTCAGTGCTGTCTTTGATATTGGGACCATAATGGCCAATGTTGGTGCTTCAGGCGGTATTATTAATTGCTTGAATAAAACCAACACTCTTGGTGGTAGTGGATCCTATTGGTCTATGGGAAGTTAAGAAGATTGAGCAATAAAATGATTTTTTTAATACTTCCTCAGAAATCTTTGCCATTTACAAAGTCTACTGCCCAATAATGATCTCCAGTTTTAGAAGGTATAGGTGTCAGAAGGATCCTGTAATTAGCTGGGCATTTTAGTGTGATTGACTCCTCTGCTCCCCTCTCCCTCCCCATTCAGAACATTTGCTTCAGTATGCTTCTGTGATCTTCCTTCTTGCCCATTGCAATTATACTAGTAGGCAGGTGCTAGTGTCTCATGCCTAATAATCCTAGTTACTCTGAGGATCGTGGTTCAAAGCCAGCCTGAACAGGAAAGTCCATGAGGCTCTTATGTCCAGTTAATAACCAAAGTGGAGTTCCAGTGGTAGAGTGCTAGCAAAAAAGCTCAGGGAGAGTGCTGATGCCTGAGTTCAAGCTCCAGAATAGGCGCGCGCACACACACACACACACACACACACGCACGCACGCACGCACGCACGCACGCACGCAATGATAGCAGCAAAGAAAACAGTGCCTATTCTCTTTCTATCCCCTTGCTTATTTGTTCACCCAAATCAAGAGCTCTTTCCCTCCTGACCCACTGATGGGGACAAGTAGGATGTTGGCAGGCCACCAGCGAAAGATAGGCTCTGATCATGATCTGTGCTTATAAGGACGTCTGGTTCTATGTTCAGTGCCTTCCCTAGCGGATGGTGGGCAGTGGAATCTGTATGATGACTAAGCATACCAGCTCTAAGCACTTTGACAGTCAACAGAGTATTGAGATGTACTAATGAATTCAGATCCCTAATGAAATGAGGCTTTTATCTAGGCCTAAGCCTAAGAACCAGATTCTCTTTAGGCCCAAGTGAAGAATCTGAACATCTGTTCATATAAAGGAGAGTGGGAATTATTCAACCTGATTCTGATTTCTTTCTTAGGTTCCGATTAAAAGGCAACTCAGCTAGTTATTGTATCTTGGCTGGAATAAAAACCCAGTGGAACAGCAGTGTTCCTGTATGTGAACGTGAGTAGAAAGCCGCCTATGTAGTGCCACTTATTTGTTTTCCGGTGTATTTTGCCTCATGTATGATCAGTTGCCTGGATCATTACTGCTAAAACAAATACTTCTTTATTGGAAGAATTTCAAGAGAGGTCTTGTTGGTCTTATATATCATACATTATTGCATTAACCTGTACATAAATAACTTAATAATGTTGAGCCTCATGGGACAGAGATGTTAGAAGAGATCAAGTTATGTAAAGGTATGTCAGATTTTATTATTTTTCAGTTTTGTCATCAAGAAGTAATCCTCTGTACTTTTTATGCTCTTTTATCTTTTATCTAAGCTTTTTATTCATCCTGTCCTTCAGTCTGTATTGTTTACCAGCAGAGGATTTCTCATATGTAGAAAGAGTAAAGAGTAAGAAAAACTTCTGCTTTCATGGAGATCATTTTCTAGTTGGGAAACAGATAAGAAGGAAATTTTTTTTTAATTAAAAAAAAAAACACTATAGACTATAGAGGTTAAGAATGTGGCTCAAGGGCTGGGAAGGTGGCTCCGTGGTAGAGGGCATGCCTTGCATGCCTGAGACGCTGAGTTCGATTCCTCGGCACCACATAAGCAAAAAGAAAAAAGCTGGAAGTGGTGCTGTGGCTCAAGTGGTAGAGCGCTAGCCTTGAGCTGAAGAGCTGAGGGACAGCGCCCAGGCCCAGAGTTCAGGCCCTACGACTAGACCCCCCTACCCCCCAAAAAGGAAAGTGATTTAATCTTCATCTGCAACATGGATTAATAAAACCTATAATTAAAAAAAAAAAGAATGTGGCTCAAGGGGCTGAGAATGTGGCTTAATGGCAGAGTACTTGCCTAGCATTCATGAGGCCCTGGATTCGATTCCTCAGTATCAGAATAATAATAACAAAATAAAAGAATGTAGTTCAGTGGTAAAGCACTTGTTTCCCTGGCAAATATGAGGCCCTGAGTTCAATCCCTAGTTCTGTAAAAACAGAAATTCAAGGCTATATAAAATAGCCTGTTAAACAGTGATATGTGAGAAAGAGAATAAAACAGGTTTTCCTGAGAGGCTAGCATTGTGCAGGGTGCTGAGGTGGTGAGCCATATCTTTGAAGTAATGAGGTGCCTTACATTTCAAAATTCATATCTTCTAAAGATGACAGGAATAGCTTCACAAAGATTTCCCTGGACTTTAAGGACCAAATAAATCTTCATCTGTCTTTTCATTGTCAACCCAGGGCTTTTGTTATGCCTGGTGTAAAGTACGTAATCAAGTGGTTATTGGCAAAACAAATTAATCACTTTCCAAATTCATTAAAAACAGCTAAGTGGTCCAGGCATCTGTCTTTTGGACTTGTGCCAAAGACAACATTTAGACCAAATGTCAGTTCTTTCTTAGCAAAAAAAAAAAAAAATAACAGCTTCCAGTTCCACTCACGTAAGGTATATCCTTTCTAAAAGGGGGGGAAAAAAACTGCCAATAATCCATTCACAGGGTACCCTTCTTAGCGTATTAGTCCTCTGGATTTGAACTCTAATAGAACTTAACCACTTATCTTCTTTCTAGAAATATTTTGCCCAAACCCTCCAACTATCCTTAATGGAAGACACACAAGCACGCTTCTGGGAAATATTCCCTATGGACAAGAAGTGTCTTATACTTGTGACCCCCACCCAGACAGAAGGATGACCTTCAACCTCACAGGGGAGAGCACCATCCGCTGCACCAATGACGGTCAAGGGAATGGGGTTTGGAGTGGTCCTCCCCCTCGCTGTGACCTTTTTGTTCCCTCTAGTTAGTATCCATTTCTACAGATCCTAAATGGGTTGACGTGGACAGTCTATGCAAGAATCTCCTTATTCCTTCAGTGGCAGTTAGTTTTGCTTGTGAACATGGCTTTGTTAGGAATGGTAGAGACAAAACTGTCCCCTAGGTGAATGGAAGATGGGTTCTAGATGTGACATGCTGGCAATAGTCTAGCTAAGCCCAATAGTGCATACCTGTAGTTCTAGCTACTTAGGAGGTTGCACTAGGAAGATTGAGCCCAGTAGTTCAATGTCAACCCGGCAATATAATGAAATTCCATCAAAAAACAAAACAAAGCTTTATGTAAAACCAATTTGTTGGTCTTCTAATGGCCTTTTCTATGAGTTGAAAATGAAGAGTTGGGTTTGTGAAGAGAATTGGTAAAATCCAGATTTTATGGGGAATAGTTTAACAACACTGAAAAGTGTCAAAACAAATGTTCTTTCATGGCAAAATACTGTTAGTTGTCTTTTACTAGACAGATATACACAAGAGAAAAAAACGATATATTCTATATATCTGAGGGGCTGGGAAGGTAGCTCAGTGATAGAGTGCTTGCCTTGTATGCATGAGGCCCTGGGTTCGATTTCTCAGCACCACATAAGTAGAAAAAGCCGGAAGTGGCACTGTGGCTCAAGTGGTTGTGTGCTTGCCTTGAGCTGAAGAGCTGAGGGACAGCACCCAGGCCCAGAGTTCAGGTACCATGACCAAAAAAAAGGAAAAAAAAAAAGAAAAGATATATTCTATATATTTGAGATCAATGTGGTTTACTATACTAGATATTCATCCACAATTTACTTCAGAATGGATAATGCTTTGAATAACTAATGAAATGCAGATATAAGTATTCATATTTTATTATTTCCCAAGTGCTTTGTTCAAGCTGCTGCCCACATTTGGTTAGCCTTTTATCTCACCATTAACAAAAGCAGCTCGGGATAACCTGGATCAATGAAAGTGTAGGATGTGCTCTTAGTCTCTGTAGTTCATTTTTTAAAAACATGTTCATCTGGCTTTAAAGGAGAGTCCCTGATGATCTTAAGCTCATTTGAGGCTCTGCTGGTTATTATGAGCTCTCCATTCTCCAGTAAGAATGGAACAGCATAGAACTGATGGACATCTGTGGTCCTTCTATCTGATAGGAGAGAATACAGAGGACTGTGTCTTAAGTACTGAGTCTGGGTGGAAAGAATCAGTCTTCTACTCATTAGCTAACAGTGAGTGGTTCATGACCTGCCTGCCTCGGGTCTTCATGTAGCCTGAGATACCTGGGTTGCTGTATTTGCACTTCTCAGCTGAACTTGGTGTCTTTTCTTGGTTTGTGTGTGAACTTGGTCTTAGCTTGCCCACATCCACCCACAATCCAGAACGGGCACCACATTGGTGACTACACATCGTCATATCTTCCTGGGATGAAAGTCAGCTACATCTGTGACCCCGGCTACCTGTTGGTGGGAAGGGGCTTCATTTTTTGTACACATCAGAGAACCTGGAGCAAATTTGATCATTATTGCAAAGGTATCTCATTTCTTGATATTTCTTATTCTGTGTTCTTACAGAAAATTTACCACAAGGCTAGTGAGATTGAGCTTTCATTGACATGATGATTTGGCAAGATTGGGAGGATAGTACTGGTACTGGGGCTTGAACTCAGGGCCTGGGAGCTGTTCCTTAGGTCTTTCATTCAAGGCTGGTGCTTTACCATTTGAGCCACACCTCTACTTCCAGCTTTGGGGGATTAACTGGAGATAAGAGTCTCCTGGACTTTCCTTCCCAGGCTGGCTTCAAACCTTGATGCTCAGATCTCAGCCTTGTGAGTAGCCAGGATTACAGGCATGAACCACCAACACCTAGCTGATGAGTGAGTATTGATGGAAAAGGGAAAAGCCGAACAAACCATAGGAAGGCACACTCCCAAGGCCTTCCAAGGATTAATTCTACTACTCAATAAAACCCCTATTTCCAATAACACACCAAGAAATCCAGAAGTAGAGCTGTAGCTCAAGTAGTAGAGTACTAGCCTTGAGCTGAAAAAAGCTCAGAGACAGCGCCCAAGGCCTGGATTCAAGCCCCAGGACTAACAAAAAGCAAACAAAAAAAGAAGAAAGAGAAAGATATCCCATGACTCCACAGGATTCTGAGATCTTTCCAGAAGTTACTTGTGTTAGACTTCAAAAAAATCTGAAGAAACGAGGTTCTTATTCTTGCAGTCCCACAGAGGAAAAGATAAAGGCCAGAGAGACCCAATCACTAGTCCTTGTTAGCCAGCTTATGAGTGTGTGAGAGGAGAGGGGTCAAAGGTTGGACCCCAGAATCCCTGCCTGTATCCTGGCTGTACACTATGCTATATGTTGTTTCCTTTATATTAAAAAAAATATGGGGTAGTTTTAATTTAGAAGCCTGTAAGCTAAGTGTTTTTGCTTTGTAGTATTTATTATTTCATATATTCTTTTTATTTTTTATTTTTTGTCGGTTGTAGGGCCTGAACTCTGGGCCTGGGCGCTGTCCCTCAGTTCTTCAGCTCAAGGCGAGCGCTCAACCACTTGAGCCACAGTGCCACTTCTGGCTTTTTCTGCTTATGTGGTGCTGGGGAATTTAACCCAGGCCTCATGAATGCAAGGCAAGCACTCTACCACTGAGCCACCTTCCCAGCCCCGTATTCTTTTTTTTAGACTGATTAGGCTGAGGGCAGGGTAGGCAGAGGTTCACGTTCAGACATGCCCCAGAGTTCTGTGGTCCACCCAGCTGCAGGAACATTGAGTCTTGTCTCTCCACAGAGTCTCAGAAACCCTTCTCAGTGTTGCCAGCCCTCTCATTCTAGAGACAGAGAAAAGGCAGCCTATCACAGTAAGAACAGTGATGCTTCTGTGCTAATCATAGCAAGAATAGGTTGCACATAACACACAGTTCTGTGGCTCTGCTTACATCTAGAAGTTCATGTGTTGGAAGTGGAAGCATGGTTTCAAGTGGTAGAGTGCCAACCTTGAGTGAAAAAATAAACCACAGGAAAGTACAAGGCTACAGGTTAAGCTCCAGTACTGGCGCGCGCACGCACACACACACACATACACAACACACACACACACCAGAAGATCATGTGCTTCTGTCATATAAAATGTTTGAAAATTCAAAACATATTTCAGCAGTGGGGGTTGAGACTCAAAAGGGGAATATGCCCTTTGCTGGGAACTGCTTTCTTCTCATTTATATATTTATTCAAATATGACAAGTATTGAATATTTATAATTCATTTTGTCTTAACTGTCCTCTTCAAGCATGCTTTATACTAGTGATTTTTCATCCAGAGCATGAGCAAAAATCAGCTAGGAACTTTGGTAAAAGAACAGGTTCTTCTGCTTCATTCCATGGACTTACTTTTACCGAAGGGGTCTGTTGTTTTTAAATCCATCTACTATTTTCATACAGGAAGATCACATGATACCTATAAAGGAAAAATAATATTTTAGGCTAATTTTGAGGCTCTTATAAGACAGACATTTCTCTTGAAGCTGAAGAAAGTAATGATGGGTAGGTAGGAAAAACAAACAAAAGGAACGGTTAACTAAGATAAAGTAAATCAAGTGGGAAAAAATCATACTTAAAATTCAAAATCATGACTAACTTCTTTATGTGTGGATATGGGCCAGAGACATGCATGTCACTGACCAAAAAATACCGGTATATGTTAGATATCTTGGAAGAATTAAATGACATTGCTGTAGCCTTATGGTAAGACCCACGTGAATCTAAAGGTAGAATGTGACTGTCCTAACTCCTCAGCCTTCTGGAACTTTCCAGTTGCAGAATAAATAATCAAAAGTATTCCATGTTCCTTCACTGTATAGCAGAAATAGAAGTAGGAGATTGTTAAATCATAGGATGTTTGGAAGAGTCAAAGGTCAACTGACCTTTCAATCAACTCTTGATTGAAAACATGTCTCCTCTTTGCCAAATGCAAAGTAAGTGTAGGATCCCAGGTATTTCTATTGGGATGATTGCAGCTAACAATAATAGCTTGGTTCTGATTTTTCTGGTTTCAGAAATAAAATGTAGCCTCCCACCATTTATGGATGGAATCCGGAAGGAGATGGAAATTAAAGAAGAATATCATTATCAGGAAAACATAACTCTAGAGTGCCAACATGGGTATACATTGGAAGGCAGCCCCTGGAGCCAATGCCAAGCGGATGGATGGCACCCTCCATTGGCTGTATGTACATCTAGTAAGTACAAGGCAATGAATGTAGCCCTTCCTAGCTGTGGTGACTTTTCATTCACACATCTCGCACCAAGTATAATGTGATATTTATGGTATTGACTAATGAAGAAATCAAAGATATTCCATCTCAAGAAAAGAATTACAAATTGGAATAGCAACTGTCTCATGATGAGATGACCTGAGCAATTGTAACTGCAGGAAGGGACATTTAGCCTGTGCCTTCCTTCGACTGTTTTGCTGGGACTAGGAGTATTGCTCAGTGGTAGTGCTATCTGTCTACTTTAATGCACTTGGCTCCAGGCTGGATCCTCAACACTGCGAAGAAAAAAAAATGTGTTCTGGAGGGACATCTGCCCCTTGTCAAGGCAGGAAAAGAACTTTAATCGTCAGTAACTAGACATTGAAGCTCTAATTTACTAGAATAAGTAAATTGATCAGTGTTCCCTTCCTCCTCCTCCTCCTCTTCTTCCTCCTTCTGTTTGCTGACACTGGGTTTGAATTCAGGGCTTCACATTCTCACTTTGCTTTTTTCTTTAACGCTGGTGCTCTACCTCCTGAAGCACACCTCCACTTTCAGCTTTTGGCTAGTTAATTGGAGATAAGACTGTCATGGACTTTTTTTCTCAGGCTGGCTTTGAACCTTGATCCTCAGGTCTCAGTATTCTAAGAATTACAGGGGTAAACCACCAGCACCTGGCATGTTTCTTATTGATATTCCTAAAACTAGCCCATCATTCCTTTGCCACTTCAGGATTTTTCCTCTAAAAAGTCTAAAAAAAACAAAACCATCTGCTTAGGTCATTCCTTCAGACACCCCATGTACATATAAGTCAAATAAAACTTGTTTAATTTTGTTAATCAGCCTGTTATTAACTTGGTTCCTAGATTCATCTATAAACTAAGGAGTGACAAAGGAGATCTCTTCTTTCTCACGCTTCTTTGTTTCTTTTTGGCAATCACTGGGCTTGATCTCAGGGCCTGGGCACTGTCCCTGAGCTCTTTTGCTCAAAGTGAGGGCTCTACCACTTTGTGATCCACAGTGCCACTTCAGGTTTCCTGGTGGTTCATTAGAGAGAAGAGTCTCACGGACTTTCCTGCCCAGGCTGAATTCGAACTGCAGTCCTCAGATCTCAGCCTCCTGAGTAGCTAGGATTATAGCCACCACCGGTGCTGGTGCCTGGCACCACACTTCTTGATATCCAGCTATTAGCTCTTCCCAGGAAGCTTATGGCAATGAGAAGAGGACCAGCCTTTCTCCCCTCACTCTCCTCAAGGAGTCCTGTGTTTTGTCTGTGTATATCACTTCAGAGTTGCATGCATCACATGATTTCTTTGTAGACTGGGAGCCGTAAAAGCTAGGCATACTTCAGTGGGAAAGAAGGCCTTCAAGAAAACTTACCAGCATGGGTCAGGGAGTACTTTCCATGCAGCAGAGCTCAGGCCCTCCATTCTCAATGCTGTAGATTACAGGAATAGCAGTCCAGACCAGACTATTGGGAAAATAACTAGAAGGCAAAATGAGCTGGAGGCATGGCTCAGGTGGTACAGTGCATGCTTAGCAAGCACAAGCCCTGAGTTCAAACCCAGGACAAGAAAATAATTAACTGAGTACTAAAGATTGTCCTGCACACAAGAGGCTGTTGGATTATGTTGTATGCCAGATTGATGTTGTGATTCTTGTCTTCCTTTTTAGGCTCACGTACTACTCTCATAATTGGTAAGTTTTGTGAAGGGGTTGTGGTATCTTTGACAGTAAGTATCTACTTGTTTAACTTTTTACCTTACTTAGCTACTTATAATGAATACAGTGTAAAAAGAGATCAAAAGGCCATCATAAGGTTCAATTAAAATGAAAATAAGTGTATTTTTCATCAAAGGATTTTTTTTGAACCATTACAAATGAAAAAATCATCCTTTCGTGTAAAAAAAAAATCATTGTTTGGGGGCCAGAGACACGGCTCAAGTGGTAGAGTACCTGTCTAGCAAGTCAAAGGCCATAAGTTCAAACCCTATTATGGAAAAAATACATACATAGGTGTGTATATGTGTATACTTATATATATAGAGAGAGGTATGTGTAGATAGAGAGAGGAGGAAGAAAGAGAAATATTTCAATGTGAGTAGAGACAGCAACTTCCTCTTTGTTTCCAGATGGTAATCTTGCACAAACTGAAAGCAGCAGGACTGGTTTGCTGAGTTCATTTCTATGGTTTGTCTATATAAGAATAGGTGTTTTATTTTGTTTGTTTTTGGTGCTTACACAGGGGCTTTAAATGAGGGCCTCACACTCCCACTTAGCTTTTTCCATTGAAGACTGGTACTCTACCACTTGGGCCACAGCTCTATGTCTGGCTTTACACTGGTTAATTGGAGATAAGAATCTCATGGAGTTTTGTGCCCAGATTGGTTTCAAACTACCATCTTCAGATCTAAGCCCCTTGAGTAGCTAGAATTGCAGGCGTGAGCCACCAGTGTCTGGCAGGAAAACTTTTATAGTAGTGTTTGCTCCAGATGAAATTCCTGTTGCTTGGAGACATGGCCAGGCCGCAAGAACTACAGCCCTATGATGTTTTCCGTCTACTTCCTGAAGGTCAACCCTAAGATAGAACTTACAGTTGCATATAAAAGTTGCTTGACAACCTTTAGGAGAATTAGGTATCAAGGTAAAATTTAAAACATCTGGGTGAAATTTTCCCCCTGTATTTAACTAATTTGTTTTCTTCTCTAGGCATCATCTTAGGTATGATCTTCCTTATTTTACTCATCATTGTGCTATTTTGGGTAATTCCCAGGTACAAAAAACGGTAAGTACAGCCCCATTCTCAAATAAATGCACACTGTTGTATTTACGTCCTTTTATAGGTCAAAGGGAAGTAAAAGAAATTCTCAAACAAAACCCACTATAACATAGACAAATGTGGTCATTCTTATAAGTCAAGCCCTTGACATAAAATAGGGAAAGCAAGTATTTAGAACTAAAGAAATGCACATGATAACTTTTTTTTAAATAACATTTTCAAGTTGGCTGGTGGCTCATGCCTGTAATCCTAGGCTACTCAGGAAGCTGTGAGGATTACAGTTCAAAGCCAGCTAGGGCAGGAAAGTCCATGAGAGTCTTATCTATAATTAATCATAGAAAAAGCTAGAAGCGGTGCTGTAGTTCAAGTGGTAGAGTACTAGTGGAGCAAAAAAGGAGCCCAGGGACAATGTTCAAGGCCCAGAGTTCAAGCCTCAAGATCGGCAAAATAAATAAATAAATGAAACATTTCAGAAGGAATTGAGAAAATGAGCAGAAAGAGGGCTTTGTTGTTGTTTTAAGACATTAATGAAGCGGGGGTGCTCACACTTGTAATCCTAGCTATACAGGAGACTGAGATCTGAGGATTGTGATTCAAAGCTAGTCTGGGCAGGAAAGACCATGAGCCTCTCCTCTCCAATTAGCCAGCAAAAAGCCAGAAGTGAGGTGTGGTTCGAGTGGTAAAGCACTAGCCTTGAGTGAAAAAGCTAAGGGAGTGAAAAAGCCTCGAGTTCAAGCCCTAGTATCAACAAAAAACAGAACAAAATGAAATCCTGCTCCTGCTTCTATTTCTTCCACATTCATTAAAACCATCAAGTTCATCATAGAACCAGGGATGTGTCAGGGCAAAGGATACCAGTCCTCTTTATCCTCAAAAGTCAGGGAGGTCAGCCCCTCGTACATCAGAGCATCTTACGGTCAAAACCGGTACATCTGTGCATCTGTAAATATTTCCTAAACACTTTCTAAGCTTTCCTTTTTGGCCCATTATACTTCCTGGGCTAATGACTGCACACTTCCATCACAAAACACGATTTGTCTTCATGTTAGAAATAATCCATAACTAACTGGGAGGGAAAGTAGTTACCATTTAAATTTAGATTCTCAGGATATAGAAGTCTTTCTCCTAGAATCCATTGAGCTGATCCATCACCATCTTCTTCCATGAGTAAGGCCTGGGGCTAAATTGGTGCAGCTGTGTAGGAGGTGACTGCTTGTTCCTCATCTGCAGGTGCTAGCAGTAAAGAAGGAACAAGTCATAGAAGAGACATAGTAGAGATACAATATTAGTGGGCTCACCTGCCTCATAGGGTCAGTGACCATGGGCTTCATTTGGGTCATCCTGCCAGAAGAGCAGCTTAACTGGGAGCTAAAAATGTGGATTGAGGGGGAGAGTATAGAAGAAAGCCTATGCTAAGAGAGACCAGACCTGGAACCATACAAACTAGGTCTGCCTCTGACATAGGACACTATCAGAAGATGCAAAAGCCATCTGAAGATTCACTAAGAAATTAAAGTGAGACAAAAGTAGAAAGAAGACACACACACATACACACACACACACACACACACACACACACAGAAATAGTCCCACCTTCTTTCAAACATGGGCAGAATGTGGGTGCACTTGCCATACCTGCACAGCTGAATCGCCAAGCCCTCTATGCTCTCTCAACCACAGAGCCCATTCTTGTCCCCCTGGCTGGCCCCTGACTCATGGTCTTGTCCCCAGTTCTATGAGATAGTAAAGAGGAACTAAGTGATGAGAACTTAGAAATGAATTAGCTTTGTGTCTTCATTCTTAAATCCTAAATGTCAATTCATACATACAAATCTACAGTTGATCTGCTTCCTTTATAAAACATAACGTGCTTGTCAAATAACCCTGGAAGAGGCCCTTTAGCATTCCAGGTGAGAGCATGAGCTTTGTAGCCAGAGAAACCTGACTTCACAGCACATACCAACTCTGAAATCCTAGACAAGACACAATCCTTCCTAGCCATGCGTGGTGATACATGCCTATAATCCCAGCTTTTTGAGAGGCAGGAGGATCTTGAGTTTGAGACCAGCCTCAGGTAAAGTTAGCAAGGCCCTATCTCAAAAAACAAAATATAAAATAAAAGGGTTGAGGGCATGGTTCAAGTGGTAGAGCACTTGCTTAGTATATGTGAGGTCTTGTATTCAGTTTCTAGTAGAGAAGAAAAAACAACCCTCTCAGTTTCATTTTGTTGCCTGTTTAATGTAGATAATTGTTCCTATCTTCCTAAACACAGCTCCTCCCATACTGAATGTCAGAAAATGTTAGGTGGACATGATGTTAATGTGATTACGTATTTCCCCTTACTATAAATGCTTTCTTCATTTTTTTGCAAGTACTGGCGTTTGAACTCAGGGCTTTGCGCTTGCTAGGTAGGTGCTCTAGCCCTTGAGCTATGCCTTCAACCCTTTTTGCTCTGCTATATTTTAGATAGCATCTTGATTTTTTTACCCTATTTATGCTTCCCACCTTAGTTGGATAACAGGTACATCCCACCATGCTCAGCTTTTTTATGTTGCTATGAAGGTCTATAAACATTTGTTTAGCCTGACCTGGAACTGTGGTCCTCCTATTTCTGCCACCTGAGCAGCTAGGATTATAGTCACTAGCAAGTGGCCATTCTACTACCTTTTTTTTTCCTTCATTTTTGGCTGTACTGGAGATTATACTCAGTGTTTTGTGCTTTCTGGGAAGGTATGATATTACTAAAACCACATGACCAGTCCTTCTTTGTGTTAGTTATTTTCAAGGTCTGGTCTTACCTTATGCCTGGGCCCTGATCTTCCTGCTTGTGTTTCCCTGCATCACTGAGACAGATGCCACACTCAGTTCTTGTGCTTCTCCTGTAGCTGGGATAACAGGTGGACGCCATGCACAGCTCTTGGTTAAGATGGAGTCTCTCAAACATTGAGGCCCAGACTGGTCTTAATGTTGATCTTCCAACTCCTGCCTCCACCGTAGCTAGAATTACAGGCTTATGCCCAGTTATCTTTCAGGACCACAGCTGCTGATTGTAGGATCCTCATAGATTGTAGGATCCTTGTGCAGATGCTCAAATCCTTTCTATATGATGGTATACTATTTCCCTATCCTTATGTACAATCTCCTTATATGCCATAATTTATCTCAAGATTATTTATGAGACCCATAATACAATGGAAATGCCATGTAAGTAACTGTCATACTGTATTATTCACTAATGAATGGCAAGAAAAAATCTGTGTTGAGTGGAGTCACAACTGTCTTTAGTATGTGTAATCTAAGGTTGCTTATATGTATAGTGTGTAGCTGAGAGAGATAGACAACCTTATCTCAGGCAGTTACTGATACTCTGCTTACTGTGGGCAGTGCTTTTATGTAAAATAGAACTTTCCAGTACCACTCATTCATTAGCTACTGACAAAAAGGAACTTTGTGCAAAAGGATTGCAGTGCAAGGGCCATTTGTATCATGAAATCTGTCAGAACCTTCTGGTAACTCTGTTACTAATAAAAATTCCTTTAGAAATAAGGAAATGATTTAAAGCAAGATTACCTATCTATAAATAATTTAGGGTGTCCTGACACAATATATAGGATGGTTTTACTATTATGTCCTAATCCAAGTTTTCACTTTGTGTGAGAGATGAGATATGGTTATCATATCTTGCAAAGAGAAAACAGGAATTTAAAACAAATTATAACTTTAACCTCAAAATGCAAGTTATTAATTTCTTTCAAAACTGAAACTGAGATGACTAAGTTGGCTTTTCTGTTTCCTTCCCTTCCCCCAACAAATAGCAATATTACGCATGGAAAGTCTAAAGAAGTGAATATCAATCTATACCCTCCAGAAAGCGACCATGCCCAGCCCCAAAGTCTTCTATCAAGTAAAGAAAACAGCAGGTACCTGTGCTTGTGGTGAAGTCAAAATGTAACAATTCAAATATTGCCCATGGAAGTAGAATTGGAATAGTATACTGTCCTAGATAGGTCATGATACCAAACAACTTAGAAACTACCTCATTCACTGGAAACACCTCTGTTTACTCATTCATTCATTCACTCATTCATTTTCCTGGAATATTGCCTTTTCCAATGATTTTGCATAATGACTGTCAGTACTGTGTGTGACCAGGCACTATGTGGTTTTTCTTCTTCAGAGTATTCCTATAGTTTTGTGGTGTATACTGTGAACTCTGTGGTGTGTGTGTCTGTGTGTCTGTGTCTGTGTCTGTGTGCCTGCCCATACCAAGGTTTGAACTGGTAGTCTTACACTCTTGCTTCGTATTTTTAATCAAGGCTAGCATTCTACCCCTTGAGCCATACTTCCACTTCCGGCTCTTTAGTAGTTAACTTACACACAAGACTGTCATGTAGTTGTTTGCTCAGGGCTGGCTTTGAACTGCAATCCTCAGATCTCAGCCTTTCCTGGAGCTAGGATTATAGATGTGAGCCACTGGCGCCCAGCTGCTGTGAACCTTTCAGAAGTAGCATTTAGGAGTGTATCCTCAAGTCCGTCAGTTTCCATTAATGTATAGAATCTCTTTCAAATCCTCTGGACCCTCACCTTCCCTTTTCCCTGATTCTTTGCTTTCACTATCCCACTCGCCTCCTGTAACTAACTTCTCTCTCCTGAGACCATCCCTAACTCTTCATTCTTCTCCCTCTCCCCATCTCTTCCTGCCCTCTTTCTTTCTATCATTATATGCTCTCCCTTTTTGCTCAGATCTTTACTGCCTATTCAACTTACCCCATTTTCAACTCTCAGGTTACTTGCGAATTCAAACTTCCACTTTCCTGTATCATGCAGAGAAATGCATTTGCTCCTTGCTTTCTCCAGCTGTTCCTGGGCACTGTAATAATTTTTTACCCACAAATCTCAGGGCACTGTCAGAAAGAATTGCACAGTACCCTAGAAAAGAATTAGGCTCTGTCATCCAGAATGAAGTAGCAAAAAAAAAAAAAAATCACGTTCATTAAAAAAAAAAATTTCCTTTCTCTCAGTACTACCTCTTTCTGACCCTGGTCTGCATTCATCTAAGCCTGGTCTTCTCTAGCTACACCCATCAAGAATCCTAAATTTAACAAGGGAGCCCCAGGGAAAGGTAAGGGCACAAGGTAGGCATTTCATAATTAACCAAGATAGAGAAACTCTATTTGTTTTCCTAAACAAATAAAACACCAGGCTGTGTCTTCATTTCTCCTATGACAGAAGCGAATTGGTAATACCCTGTGTGTTCTCTGGCTTCCTAGTGACTTTCCTTCTGTCTTACATCTTATTTTTCCTTATTATTTATGATGGCAAATGAAATATGCATTTTTTAAAAAGTACCTCAGAGTTGATATTTTATTTTTCTGAATTTTTAGTGGTCTTCCACTCGGATACTTTCCAAATGGTTGTCTGCCTGTGCCTTGGGGTGCGTGGCTAGGTAACCAAAAGGTTATGAAAGTCTTGAGACATCATATAATCTTAGAAAAATGCCTGTTTTACTCTGATAAAGACAAAACTAGCACAGATACACATGTAAGTGAGTGAACATCTTATAGTGCAAGAGATTTAGAGCTGAAGAGAGAGAGAGTAGAGAATCTCCACAGGTGTCTAACTTACGCCTCCAAGGTCCAGAGGTGATGCTTCCACTTCCCGCTATCATGCTAGAATGGGAAGTTGTGAAAAATTGATTAGAGTCCAATTGTGCTGAGACAGCACTGAATCACTTTTACAGAAGTTTATTTTAGAAAACAGTCTTGCCACATTACCTGCCTAAAACACGTTCCCACCTTTCTTCTTGCCTAAGTTCTACGAACTTAGCTTGGAGTTCTCTTGACCAAAACGCTCTTCCCAACAACTCTAGTCCAAAATGATGTCCATCTTTGAAGCAGCATTTCCTGTATTATCTTTAAGTAGTTGTGCAAAGAAGTTTCCATTCAACAAAGCAGATTGTGAATACAGTACATCTTGATCAGCATCGCCCCTTTCAACATTCTCCCTGATCATTTTTAAAACAAGCTGTTTTCCCCTAAAAGTACTATATTTTCATTATTAGAGAGAGAGAGAGAGAGAGATAGGACAGATAGACAACATTGATGGATAGACAGATGAGAAAGATAGTATAGTCTGCAGTAAATCCTACCTGGTAGTAGTATTTTTGAACTTTGTTTTGCACATTTTACATGTGAAGAGCTGTACCTAAACTTTATATTAATGGTACAGTATTTAATCCTGCCTTTTCTTACCAGTGACCATCATTTCTGGGCGCTGGTGGCTCATGCCTGTAATCCTAGCTATTCAGGAGGCTGAAATCTGAGGTTGGCAGTTCAAGGCCAGATCAGGCAGGAAAGTCCATGAGATTCTTATGTCTAATTAACCCCTAAAAAGGCAGAAGTGGAGCTGTGACTGAAGTGGTAGAGCACCAGCCTGGCATGAAGAAAGCTCAGGGACAACACCCAGGCCTTGAGTTTAAGCCCAGTACTGTCATACACACACAAAATTTCTTTAAAGAGCAAAGATTTGTTTTACCTCATAGGTTCAGAGACGTTAGTCCATGATTGGCTGTGCCCATTCTGTGGTGAGTGGGCCAGGGCCAGGGCTTATCTTGGCAGGCACACCTGCAGCGATCACAACCTCCACCTAGGTCCTACTTCCTTCGTTTTCCTCTCTTTCCCTAAATGCCATCCTATTAATCCACCCAGGGACTAATCCACCAGTGACCGCAGAGCCCTTACGATACTATCACCTCTCAGTAACTGGGTCCAGCAGCTGGGGTCCAGGCCTTCACACACATGAGCTCTAGGGGAGACACTTCGCTTTCAAACCATAAAGGAAATCCTGAATAACGTCCATAGTTCCTTTAGAGGATTAAACTCTGGACCAGCGTTCCACAGGAGCCAGGTTAATCATGTGTGGCAAGAGGCAGTAGGCAAGGGGTGAGTTAGAGACTGTTTATTCATGAGACTTGTGCACCCAAACCAGGTGCGGGGAGAGACTGGATGACACAGGGAAAGAGGCAGATGCTAAGGACACAACTGTGGGTTGAAGGTCACGAAATGTTTGGAGGGGAGTTTGGGCAGGGGATGATGGTGAGGAATCAGGTGACAGAAATAATGGAGTCTGTTGACTATTGGGCCTCATCAGGGGCTGGGTCCCTTGGGGGAAGGACAGCCTTCCTGAACAGAGGAGAAGCTTTCGCACAGCAAGAAAAGCATTTCTCTTGTACTCAGTATACTACATGAGCTCCCTCTTAACTGTAGGAAGAGTAGGAGGAGATGCTTTCTGAAGATGATCCTCTTCCAACAGCCACTACCCACTGCCCTTCTGAAAAGACTCGAGGAAATACTTCCTGCATTGTGACTGACCTGTATGTTTCCTTGAATGAGGTTCTGTTCACTTATTTGCTCACATTTTCTTGGCTAGGTCAAATAACTCATTAATCTCTCTCTTATCTACTCAGTCTCAATTTACATCCAGCTTCTTGCGACCTACCTAGTTAGTAACCACATCCAACGGCGATAAACACATCTGATGAATTTGTATTTTCTACCTGACATCAGCCTCAAAATCGTTAGCATTTAAACATATAGAGTCTTGGTAGTTTCTGTTATCCGTCATGCTGTCATCTAAACAAACATATCCTGTTATTTCAGCGGCCTTCCTTGACAACATACTATAAAGCTGGAGCATACCTCAATTACATGTTGACTAGACAGGAGCCAATTCATTGCAATGGAAGAAGATCTGGACTCATGAAGATCTGAAGCTTCCCAGGCCTCCCTTCTCAGTCTGCCCTTCGGTCACTCCCTCAGGCTCTTCATCCTCTTGTTGGAGGATCAGATCCTTATTAAGCTCGAGAAAAATAGTTCAGGGACTTAAAGAAGTGTGTTGTTGTCTAAGAGTAGTGGTTTCTAAGTCAATCATTTCCCTTATTTCAAAATGTTCATAACATACACTGGAAAAGGAACACCTGGAATATGCACTGAGATATGAAAATAAGATGTACAGAATTCTATTATGCAGCGATAAGCAGTAATTACTTAATTTCCTTTTTGCCAGTAACTTCTCACATTTTTGTCTTTATACACACACACACACCTTTCTTGCTTCAATAGTTGCTTTATTTTATAGAGCAGAACCCACTCGTTTAAATAAGTTTGTAGAAAAAACATTTTATATCCATTTCTACTTTATGGATGAGGATTTTTGTTTACTATAGAGATATTAAACAATTGTGGGGAGAATGGTAAAGACTAAAATGTCAATCACTGGATATTTTCTTTTACAAATATTTTTACAAATATTACTATGTTTTATACTTTAAAAAACATGAAAAGTGAAATAAAAGAATAATTGTTACTGTTTAAAAAAAAACACCTAGATAACTTTGGTATAGCTTCAGAATACACTAGATCAACTAAAACAGCACCGCTTTTAAGAATGTATCAGTTGCTGGGAACCAGTGGCTCACTCCTATAATCCTAGCTACTCAGAGGCTGAGGTCTGAGGATCTCGGTTCAAAGCCAGCCCAGGCAGAAAAGTCCAGGAGACTTATTTCCAATAAACCACTAAAAACCAGAAGTGGCGCTGTGGCTCAAGCGGTAGAGCACTTGCCTTGAGCTGAAGAGCGCAGGGACAGCGCCCAAGCAGAGTTCAAGTTGCCCCACGACCAAAAAAAAAAAAAAAAGAATGTATCAGTTCACAGGAATTAAGTTACATCCAGATTGGCAAGATAACTGTAGATAAAAATAATGATGCATTGCATATTAAACAAAAAAAGCTTGAAGAAAAGATTTAGAATGTTTTTACCACACAAAGAAATAATAAATATTCGAGAGAACAGAGATTTGAAGGGCTGGGAAGGTGGCTCAGTGGTAGAGTGCTTGCCTTGCATGCCTAAGGCCCTGGGTTCGATTCCTCAGCACCACATAAGCAAAAAGAAAAAAG